CATTCCCTTGGCTTCACAATCATGAGTGTTTTGCAAAATGAGAATCAGCTCGAACAGAATCCCATTTTATTCAACCACGAGCTAAAATAGTTTAGTCCTGTGATATATTTTGCATTCTTTCAAGAGTCTACCTAATAATTGTTTATTTTACTATTCTTTTACATACGTTTGTAATTAAGTTGACCTTGTCGTGCGGTATATGCCTAGTACTATATTTTGGTTCATGATATTTGTAGGAATACCATGATTTATAGGTGCCATCCCAGTTTTGCAAGTTTTTTCATAACGCAAAAAATTGCCAAGGTAAATATTTTTGTTTTACTTGTTGTAACAAGTATTTTGTATAAACATCTCGTTAATGAGCGCTTTGAGGAGAAAATACCAGTTATTGCCTAAAGAAAGCGGTATACAACGGTCATTTGCTACGGCCTCTTGTGAATAGATGGGCATGTATTTAATAGAATCGGCTGCCATGTTATTAAATAAGAAACTAACTGACTTCTTTAATTCCCTGTTATTGATGCACTGGTGTGGGTGCAGGCCATGTGCATCCTCGTGCGTAGGAACATGGGGCTTATTTTACTGATCTACACTTAAAAATATGCTAGAAATAATGATGAAACTTTTATGTTTCTGGTCAATGTGTGTTTTACGCTGACAAAATTTTCATCCGATAAAATGTAAAGCAGTGAGAAAATTTGGAAATCGCTTTTTTGTAGTAACATATGAGATGGCCACATATTTTATTACTCGATTTTGTTGTAACTGCGCATTTGAACAGCATTATTTTCGTGAAACCCTGCAGAAATTGGAACATGTTTTATGACTGCGCAGTTTGCAACATTAAGTAACTAACAACAAACTATGTGACAAAATGTTTAGCTAAACTTCTACCTCACCAAATATTTTATGCAAATATTTCCGCTCTTTTATGCGTAAGTGTATGCTTGGAATTGCAACGATGTCCAATTTATAGATTGTAACCCGGGTTTTTTTAATGAATAGAACAGAAGGCCTTCTTCTGAGAAAAGAACAATTGAAATCTTGGTAAGTGTCGATACCTAACGCCATTAACGATTGAGGGAGAATTAAACAGGAATTCTATTAGCTGTCAATTTTTTTCGTTTTATTCGATGTTTTAATTTGTATGAAAGGAAACAACTTATCAGGAAAAGAAGTTGGAGACTGCTTTCTAGTTTAAATTGTCAGAAGCTATGAAACACCATCAGCTTGGACCATGGTTGACAGTGTGTTTATTAACATTCGCTGTCATTACCGTGAAACTTCTCTCCATTCCAAATCCAAACACGAAAAATGTGGATTTTCAAAGATGCATGAATGCAAGGATGCAAAGATGCAAAGATGAAAGTTTTGAAAAGCCCGAATTTCCCTGTTTTAATAGTAACGGCTGCCGTAAGTTGGCTTTTGATTTGTTATCAACATTGAATCCGTCGGTCCACAATAGGCAAATTGCTAGATTCTTATTTCGAAGAGGATCTTCCTTTAAGCTGTCTTGCCAACTAGTAGAAAAGAAGAGCAGTTATCAGTTAAATCGCTTGATTAGTGTACATGCGCAAAAATACGCCTATGTTTTGGTAAAGTATTAGACTACAAAAGTAAATTAGGATTGGCTTAATGAACCAAACTGCAGAATGAAAGCAGAGCGTAAAACAATACGCCTTCTTATTTTTCATAATAAAATTGTAAAGAAAATGTCGGCATTTGTTTTCGACTTTATTCGTTGTTAATTTTGGTTTTCTGTCCTTAGAGGCATTGAATTGATAATTTTGAAATTTGAAAGTGCTTCAGTACATAGTGCCATTAGGAATATGGCGTCATATATTCCGAAGACAAAATTTTTTGTACATATATGTTAGTCGGGTTGATCTTCTTTGCAGTCCTTTTTAACCCAACTAGATATCGAGAAAGAGAAGTTTACACATAGAAGATGAAGCCAAACAAATAAATTATAACCACTTACAATGGTCCTATTCGGGCATACAGGAAAATCCCATTGCCGCTTACTAAATAATCACATGTAAAAAGAAACAAAGCTTAAAACTCGTAAAAATCGAAAAACCACATAATCATCAAACCACCTGTGCAAATACTTATGGGGTTTTCGCAGCAGTTAAGCTTCTTGAACCAAGTGAACATAATACCTCTCTAAATTGTATAACGCAAGAGGATTCCATCCGAGTTTACCTGAACTGATAAGCAATCGACCTATTTTCTGGCCATTTGTAATTTTGCGGTTTGTTACATACAAATCTACAAAGTCATCTGGGTTTATTTAGTCTTTGGGTTGGATAAGTAAGATATTATCTGCACTATTATTTTCAAAAACACATTTTTGACGTCTTCACTTTGACACATCAGCACTAATTTATTCATTAAAAAGGAATTTTATGTGAAAAATACCTATCAAAATATCAACATATCTTTCAAAGGTATTTTATTGCTTAAATATGTATCTAAAATATATATACTATGTATGTAATATGTATCTAAAGTAAAACCTGGGGTAGTAACTAGTTTCCAAATGTTAACCAGATTTAAGTACAGGTTTATAAAATAAAATTCCGCAGGTGCAAAATGATCTAAAGGGAGACACGCAAGCCTAAGAAGAAGGACGTGTTGATGCCGAAACACTGTGTTTTTATAAGGTAAATCTCCTTTCAACTGTGGAGCATTAAATTATCCTACTAATCGAGAAAAACAGTTAGAAGTTTACATTCCGAAAGTAGGATGTGCAAATTCATTTTGATGTTCAGAGTCCCCCTTTGCCACACCAAATGTAGATTTATGGTGATCATCGACATCTCTTTTGACATGGAGACGAAAGGGTAGCTGATTATACTTGTTCAAACAAATCGCTTACTCGGCTGGCTTGTAAACAAGATTATGTTTGTTCAAAGCAAAAGCCCACTAGAAATCTTCATTCATAAGGAGTTTGTCGTACGTTGACAATGGAAAGGTCGTATTTCGTATCTGTATCTGGATATTATAACATTGAAAAATATATATGTACATTTTAAGGACTCGCCGATGTAGTGTAAATAAGTGCGGAATAATTATTTTGTATTTCGGCGCAAGCATATACGAACGGCTATCGAAATATTGGAAGGAACTTATTTACTTATCCTAATTAAAGCGTCAATGATTCATCTACCAAAACGATAACAAAACAGCCGACTACCGTTAGGTAAATTAGTTGATGGGTGGCAATAACCATGTCTTTACCAAACTGTAAGGCGACTTATTTTATCAAATAAGCCAATACAATTTCTAGACTTAGGTAGGCTTCTCCTCCATTTACAGCATGGTGGAAGACCTCTTTACCCTTTAGTCTATTATAATGCTTTGCGGTATGCGTGCAGCTGACTGTTTAAGTATCTTTCTACGTGCTTCGACCTCCCCTGCTCCTCATGCACGCAAATCATTTTTCAGAGGATTGTCTAACATAGGCAAAGTTAAACACATGCATTGTTAATATAAAAGCAAGAAACATGTTTTCTACTTTAACGAATAACCCTTTCATGAGTCGCTTGGTCACCTAATCGTGTAGTAAAGCTAATTATTAAGACGTGATGTGTCCCTATTAAAGAATCAGTTTATTTTAAAAAAGGGTAATTTCTGATTTATAAAACAGGTGAGAACCGTGCAACCATGCCATAGTCCACAGCTTCGTCAACTACCTTATTGTGGCAAAACAGAAATTTCGCTGTTAGTATATCATATTTTTAATGAAAAGGTAATTAATTAAACCGTTATAAGGCGAAATTGATGCGGCGCTTATTAAAAGAATATATACCTAGTTCAAATAGACGAAATGACTGGAATCAGAACTTTCTGGGTAATTTATCTTAGCGTGCATTTTGAAATCATTATGGCCAAAACCCCCATAAAATTTCGTCTTTTACAATATTTAGGCTATAAAACTTTCCATAAAGACTAAAGAGGAGTAGCTGTAATGTGGCACGTCTACCAACTTTACACCAAATTATTACATTTTAAAACATGAGGCGGTATAATTTTCGCCAAGCTAACGTATTATTTAGGTATATCTGCAAAGTTGGCTTTGAAATCAAAGAATGCCAAACATGTTACGGCTACATGCTTTCAAAACTTCTGGCACCTTTGTATGCAAGGCAAAAGCACAATTCATTAATGGAAATGTCAGCAAATACAATCCAAATAAATGAATCACTAAGTAGGTGCTAAACTTTGATGAGGGTGCATAACTTAAACTTAAGTATAATATTAGAGAAAATTTCACACTACTCAAAGATCGTCTGCGAAATAGTCGGAGGCAAATGCGTCGCAAACAGATCATGTTCTTTAACCACTTTGTTTGTGGAGTTTTATGAATGAGGGCTGAGTTTAAAAAAACTATTATTAGACTGTACAAGGTTGTTCAATGATTTTGGTTTGGAGCAATGACCAACAAACAAATCCACCCCATTTAACCCTTTGTGTAGTTTCAATTGAAACTGAATTCTAACACTACATTTTACATGTTTGAACACAAACAGTAAACATTTTGCTATTACTAATGCTGAGGGCATGCCTTAATAACCGTTAAAATGAGATATTATTTGAGTTGTAAGGCAAATTGTGATTCAAAGCGATACGGTTGGCCACTTTTCCTGCTTTGACATGCGCATTAGTGATAATGGTAGCTCTCAAATGCTCTGTTTGCGGGACCCTACATATTTAACGTGTATTAACTCATCTGCTTTCAAATTTTCAACAATGCGCAAGCACACGAATTTTGATAAAGACCAATGTATTTTGTTCAGACTTAAGCATCTTACAGCGTGTCTTCTCTTTTACAATTGCCTAAATTGGCATGCGCCCATTGTACAATAGCATTAAACTAAGCGTAGAAGAACTGGTTTCTAGGTCTTCAATCGCATCAGTGTATGACAAGTGGTTAACTTTAATTTACACGGATTTAATTAAAAACAAATTTTAGTCCACTTTTGATATTTTGAAACATGGCAGGAAGTAGAGAGCACCATTTATTTAATACTTCCTTGTATAGTGGAAAATTTGGCTAGTAAAAGAGCCATTCGACCGTTTAACATCCGATTTTACCTACCATTTTTATGCTCAAAGTTTATTTACTGAAAAAGGCGTGCAATTATAAGTAAATACGATTGTTTAAATTCACTACAGAGAAACCGTGGGGAGAGTTACTACCACTTGAGGATATTGACGCAGATGTTTTCAATGGAAGAGAGAAATTCAAAAAAGAGTTAATCATCAATCTTACGAATTCATCAAAAGAAAAACCATTCACTTTGGTAAGGTGCATTTTGGCAGTTTTTTCAATTTAAAGGCGGTTATTATTTACAAAGTTTTCCTTGGCGACCGAATTCACCAAGCTATAGAAACATTCCTAATGACGCTTATAATTACCCATACTACTCTAAATATGTTAAAAATCTAAGCTGCTGTGCCGCAGCCTCTTACAGATCAAAGGGTTGCCTAATTTATTTCTGATTACGACTTACTCAAATTCTAATATCTGACTACTTTGTGACAGGCGAGTGGGATATGATATTTGTCATTTTCAAAGTAAACCTCGAGAATAGACACTAAGTACTAAGTTTTTTATCATAGATGTTTCTAAAAAAAACTAGAAGGACTCTTTTTTGCAGAACCCACTTTGGAATGTCCGTTTTACTATCCGTTTGCTGGAAAATGTTCCAACGCCAACGTTTGAAGACTGGGATCACGAATCTAGCGATAATTCAATGATACTGATGTCAGCCGAAGATTCACACCTTGCCGACTTAAAGTCTTTGCTGCAGAAGGAGGTCGCTACATTTTGCAGGTAGTTTTCATCTAAAAACGTAATAAATTATTTTCATCATCGAACACCTTTACAGCGGTGCGCCAACTGTAAGTGCTGATTCATTTTACGCCACCTCCGTTGAAATCGGCAAGACTCGAACAAATCACAATGTATTTAGTCCACTATGTAGACCAAAATGGATTTTTTTTGTTACATTGAAAGTGTTGGAATTCAAAACATGCAGTCATTGGAGGAATACCCAGATTTTAATGTTGCATTAAAATCTCTTGAATATTTGACAATTCAATTGATGCTCACAAAAAAAACTCGCCTTAGTTTTTAGGCTAAAAGGAAGAGCAGGACAATTTTTAAAATTGTAATTTACTGGTAAATTGCGTCACTTCTTGCAGATTTTTTGGCTTTTGCAGAAATACCAGAGGAGAAGGACTACTTTAGGTGTAGAAGAAGCAAATCGAAGTTTCCATTTTCCCACTGAGGCACTGATGCTGTGAATTTGATCAAATCCGCAGTAGCAAGACTTGCATTACAGACATTTAAAATTTTCTCACTGTCAATCAGCAATTAAAAATTGTGCATGGACGAAACCGCATTTAAACAAATAGGGAACCAATGGCTATACAGGCCTGCACAAGGACGAATGTCCTTCCTGATGTGTATTTCCATGGGCATTAGTCGTCTCGTTGACATTCCCCACTTTCAGCAAATCTTCTTTTAAATGTGTGCGCGCCATGTGATAGCAATGAAGCTACAGCGATCCAAGGCAATGGATTAATTGAACCCAAAATTTTACTAGTAAGCAGATCCTTTGGGTAGTGTTGCAGGAATTACAAATAGAACGATGGTTTATTAAAGCACTAGTTATATGAATGTGTTCAATAATTTACTTTGAAATCCACATTGTCTCCTGAGTGCAACTTCAATTATACGCTTAAATGACCAATGTTTCGGATGGATTTTGTTAAGCAGCTGTTGTGGTTATACAAAGCGTTCAACTTCTAATATGATAAAAAAAGTTACAAATAATTTGCCTTTGTAATCTACAAAACCGAAACAACAGACCCTCCATTACTTGGATTGAATAAGCCAAAACTCAGTCAGACAATGAACTCCTCTAGTGGTCTCTATTTTAGTAAAACATTGTTGGAAACATTATTTATAAGTATGACATTATCTAGAGTTTAAATTAAGGCCTTATAATGTAAATGTCTTCATTTCCCGTCCTTAAACGTAATTCATGTTACGTCTAAAATCACAATTTTTTGATGCCAATTAACGCGCATTTTTACAATTTAATCATATTATTATGGGACAACGCTTCTCCTTAGGCATCCCCTACCAAAGCGATACTATTTATCAATGAAACCTTATCCAGATAGACAGACAGCGGCTATTCTTCGAAATTTTTCCATAGGAATTGATAGTCGGACAAATTTTCGACAGTTCGAAAACATGGAGGCTCGTCTGTTTCAAAGAACATTAAACGAACCCTGCTCTTATAGCGTACGTGCTCACTATTCAATGAATGCTCCTGCAGCAAACAGTCATAGTGAACTATTGCCAATGCACAGGGTATTTGAATGCCAGAAATGATTCAGATTTAAAAACGATTTAATGCACATACCACAATTACTCTTTCTTCTAGTTTTATGGTTCCCCTTCTTACATACTCACCCACTCTGATAAATCTGCATCAACTCGAACTTCATTTGGAAAGAGATTCTCCAACTGAAATTATTAAAAATTGGGCAATTTACCAATGGGTTTCAAGTTTGTTTTTAAATGCTAATTTGTGCACTTAGATTAAACTTAATTAGGAGAACAGGTTAAGGATCATGGAAAAATACAAGTGGCATTAAACCACTTAATTTAATGGAATTCGAAAATACTGCGTAGTCTAATTCTCCAAGAGAATTTTAACTTAAAAGGGGTGATCAAAGATGAATATTAATATAATTATCGTTTAGTGGCCTTAGTAAAATCATCTCACAGCATTACAGTCCGAAGGCTTTAAAAATATCTTCGTGATAATTCAAGTTTATTCTGACTTTGAAAAAGAGACACAATTTTAAATATAATTGCAGTTTGGTCACTGCAGGTAGTTAAGCAATCTATGTTAGGAATCAGCAAGGATATAGGAACACTGTTTCATCTGTTAAAACAGCTTTATATTAAGTAAAAACCTTTGCGCTTTATATGGAAGTAGGTAAATAAAGCAGAACAGTTCTGCTTATAAGTTTCGAGTAATTTTTCAATTTATTTAATAGACTTAATAATGACTTTACCGTTTACTGCTTACCTATTACTGACCATTCGAAACTCCTTTCGGACCTTACTGCATCATCCATTCCTTGATTATTATTTACCCACTCTTAGCGTTGCATATTTTTTAATGGATACCAATTACTTTTTTTATAACTCAATGGTTCACCACAATCTTGTACTGTGACGCAACGCTTTGGAGTTTTCGTTAAAAGTTATAAGCGGGGATGTTGAGGTTCGTTTTGACGTACCTAAAAATTTAAGGTACCAACGCCTCTCAAATCGGAATCAAATTCATTCTACTGTACGACAAACTCTCCTCTGGTGACTGAGGTATTTAAGGAACACCTAATGGATTCTTACGTGGATCAGAGTGATGAACGGTGTGACAAAGCTCGACGTATTTGTCACTTATGTTTGATGCAATCGTGTGGAGTTAAGCACATTGACTGGAACATGAGGCTAACCTCTTTTGCTTTATTGGGTGAGTCAAGGTCCTCAAAAATGTCTCTAACACTTGCCGTAAATCAAATCAAATTGGACTATTAATATTGTATCAATTGAATGGCTTTTTCAATTGAATATAACATTTAAAACGTTTCCATTAGATAAAGTTTATGACTAGGATTGCAGCGACAACTACTTAATTTTTGCTTCTTTGTGTAAAATAGTGTTTTTTATGCAGTCGCGCATCATGTTAGATGGAAAATGAATGACTCCTTAAACATGTGCTTTTCATCAGAATGAGAGGCATATATACATCTTATTCCTTCTTAAAATAAAACACCTAATTTTGAGTGGCAAAGCCATACTAGCGTCAAGGTCTTTATAAATAGAAACCGTTTTGCATGAGTTATGCATTAATTGACTTTATCATCGTGATCATTATGCGCTCTGAAGCGGTAGAAGTTTCGTCTTTTAAATAAGCTGTAGATTTTGTCGGTGTTTATGTAAGCTTGGTTCTACGTAGACAGTATATCAATAAACCTTGTCACTGTTGTCGTTCCTCGAAGTGTGATGCATTGCGCTCCTCCCAGCGGTCCCACAGACTGATGCCACAATAATGTTGTAACTGGATTAAGAAAGTGTCAGCTACCTAAAAGCGATGCTAAAGTGTAAGAAACCTTTTAATAAGAAATTATTAACATAAAATTTCACCTCTTATAGATGCTCAGAGGTCATAAGCCCGGTTTCCAAAGAAACTGGGACTAGCACAGTTGGTGATTCAAGTGGACGACCTTTGTTTCCAATGCTGCGAAATTAAGCAAATATTTATTTTAATGAATACTTTGTTATTAACTGGACATGTCTCTCACTGGATATTTGGAGTACAAAATCATCGCAGAACATGAGCATATAAAAGCAAAAAGTAACCTTTCTAGAAGACCTTCAAACTATCGTTAAATAAACTTTCTTCCCAATTTACTAACTGTTTTCTCTGCTATAGTTCTTTATGAAACCTAAACCTATTTAGCTAAATGAAACCTAACTGTGGTTTAAACAATAAATCGTCTTCACGTTTCCCTTTTTTAGTAACTGCAAATAATGCACTAAATATAGTGCGATTCATTGTGGATTGTGTGTGACCGTGCCCAGAAATAAGGTAGAAATGTATTTGGCGTTGTTTTGCTAATGTCTCAACGAAACAGATAGCAATAATGGTGAAAAATAAAACCTAAGTAAATGGATAAATGCTCACCAATGTGCACAAAACGCACTTAGCCATGAGGCAATTTGTCAAATTTTAGTTTTGCGGTTTTGTTCTAACGGCATTCGGGAACTTCTTTAGGTTGCATAGACGTCAGGCGTTAAGAAAAATAAACACAATTATCAAAACTCTGAAGTATTTTGGTGGTATTTATTCCAATAGATTGACGTTGAACCTTAGGTCTTAACAATGTGGACAAATCCCATTTTGTGAAGTTGAGGGGCCATTGTAAACAAAATTCACTGATCAAAAATAGCTAAAACTATGATTGGAGCCGTTGAAAACTGTGATAGCAGTGCCATTATTTTAATAGGTTCGAATTCAAGTTGCTGTCAAGTCCCTTGTTACGCTTCTCCGCACTGTCTTCGATACTTCAATAGGGAATGTTATCCACTGGATAGATATTCTCTGGAAAAACCGAAACTATGCTTTCGGGGTATGTCGTTAAAAATCCAGATTATCCAATCCAATTTATATGGACATGCTAAGCAAATGCGTTAAATGTAGATACATAGTTTTTTTCAAAATTAACCTTTGCTCTTTAATATAAGATTCTAGCTACTTAGTTTTTGGGAGGTATGCTATTTAAATGGTCGTTTTATCTGAAATATATCTCGACTGGCCTTCTGATTCTTATATTTCTAAGGGCTAAATGTATTAGCAAAGTAACTTTTGTGGTTTAAGAGGTATACTAGAGGTTAATACTGTTAGCTATGATCTCATCTTTTCATCATTCTGCTCGTGTTTCTTGATAAGTCACACTGAAAGAAGGGGATCTATGAGCTTCTGCAAGAAATAAGTAAAATTACTACGGACCGTAAGCTTGCTATTACAACTTTTGGAAAGTGAGGGTATAATAACTAATTAGAGGAAATATATTTTGCTTGCGCAGCTTTTGAGCATTCTACAGAGCTGATAGTTGGCCTTTCATTCGTACAGGAAAGTTTAGATAATTGTCTTTTGAAAAAAATGAAGTCAATATTTCTGAAGATCATTTCTCATTTCAAATATTTTCATTAAAATGCTAGCAACTCCCGACATTATATTAAGTGATGGACCTAATATCGGTTCCATTTGCATTTCAAAAGTTGCAAGAAGTCCACCTTTATTTTCCTTTGTAAAATGATGATAGTTAGCATGCGTAAAAACTACCAAATGTAGGTAAGAAGCCTTTCTATTTATAATTAGAGATTAAAAAAGCTAAACTTTATGGAAGTGTTTCGTCTTCGTTTACCAAATACGTATTTCTGCCTAAAACGTGGCCGCTTTTTCAGTGGCTTATCATCCTACATCTCCCGATTCCGCTTGCTTAGGAAGCTATGTAAAACTGTAGCGATATTTGCTTTTTAGTAGAAAATATCAAAATTTAAGGTTAAGACTGTCGGTAGTTTTCCCTCTGAGTGCTTACCTGCGACTTTGTATACATATGCCTCTCAAACATAAGTCCAGTTTAAATTGCCAAATACTTTGTAGACTTCTTTTCAAAAACTAATTAATCAGATGGTATAAAGCAATGCACAATGCCAGGCATTTTGTATGATCTAGATAATCTGATAAAGTTGTTGTCCGTAGATTTTAACATCTAACATTCATTTGGAACGCTTCTGTCAGGTGATCGCTTGAATAACTAACATAAATCATCAAAAGTAAAAATAAAAGAAAATTAAGGATTTTTGTTAAAGGGTAGTACTATATTGTAGACAATGGTGAAGTCATCAGATTAGACTTCTTGTAACGGAAGTGAATATCCAATGATAACGTGTCTGGAACTGCCTATTTGTTATATTTCACTGAGACGTTTATTTAAGTACTTATAAACTGCTCATGATAAATGTATTGTCATGAGGTGAAAGGATCCTTGTAATATTTTACAAAAGGCGTATTTAACGAATGATGTGGTCTTCCCAAAAAATAGGTTGAGAATATGCAGTTGGGAAAACCAACATTTTACAGTCTGTTAACCATCCCAGTTAGTCAACTTGCAAAGAAAACAGAGAAAAAAAACAGTTTTTAACAATTTTGCGTTCTTTGCAATATTAAAGCATTATGCGAAAGCTGGAAGGTTAGTGCTAGGCATGAAGTACTCGGCTGTTGCTGTAATTTCATACGGTTAGTACTGGCCTCTATTCAACACATCTTTCGGTCATGATAAGTGAATAACTATTAAATTCAATGCCGCTTTCTTTAAGATTCCTGAAAAATGAATTAAATGAGCCCAAAAAACTTTCTTCTTTAAAATTAATGATTAATGACTGTGCCACTATAAAAAAAAACAAATTTTTAAGTTTATTTTGTAATATGCATTAATTATTCGATTTTCTTTAGGAAAAACTCTTAAATTTACGCTAACGCCGGACTTTGATTTCAAAAATAGCGGCATTCAGTGTCACATAAGACGCCGACCGCGAAGCAGCTCCCAGAAAATAATTTTAGAGTTTGGTATGGATTTTACAACACTCAGGAAAAATTTGGATTCCAAACACCCAGAAAAAATTGGTACTTTTCATTCGAATTCCTATCAGCTCCAACTATTCTTCCGCTTTTTTCCTGGAAAAACTGGCTATTTTTTACAAAACCACTTCATTTTTGATCTGAGAAGCAATATTCCTGATCTGGAAGAGGCTATCCTCATGAAAAAAGTGCCAAATAATTCGACGGAGCCAGAGTTCTTTCTTGTTGCTTTGGCACGACGAGAAATAAGTTTATCTAATAAAAAGCCAATTCAATTATTTCGTCAAAGGGAGCAAAAATATATCACATTTCAGGTAAGTTTAAAAAACTCGTAGGATTTTAAATATGAAGTGCATATGATGACGAAATAAGCTTTTTTACCTATGCATAAAATTTTTCTTAAATCAAATTTGATTGCGCCTACAATTAAAATGAACTATCTTGTTTCTATTAAGCTTGAGCCTTGCAGGCCTTTGTGTCCTGCCGATGCTTTTAAGTCGTCATCACGAATGGTACATTTTTATCTCAAAGAGCCATTGTGCCACCGTGATCACTAAAATATCCAAAATAGACTATAATGCTAGTATGACTGGAACTCAGTAAGTAAGTACACATGCTCACGAAAAATAATGCCCTGTATCCTCTTATTTTAGAATGTTAAACCATTTCAATTTAACACAGAAAACTGGCACAAGCAAGGTTGTTCAGTTCAAATTTCTACGGGAACAATGCAAGAACAATCAGCAGAGAATGCAACATACAAGAAACCAGTAGTTGTTCGCATTTCCCCACCTCAGCAGCCGGGGGCGCCGTTTGCATATATTATTAATGAATTTGACCGCAAAGTTCAGCTCCATATATCAGCCAAAGGTAAATTTGTACTGAACAAATCCCTTCTTTTTCATTGTATCACATGTAGGAAAATACCCGTATAGAAACATGAACCAAACTTTTTGGTGTACGCTTGCGGCAAATTAGAAAACTGGAATTCATAGGGGGGGAATCTGGCACTCACCTTGTCTTATTAAAAGAATCTTGTTTGATGTAAATATGGTTATCCTACATAAGGCCTGTTGGCGTTTCGCAATCACATGCAGAGCCTCACTGCTAATTCACAAATGGCCTGTCTTATACTATTTATTACGTGCCTTACAAACTTGCAATTCCATTCAAGATACATCTTTTTTGATCTAATGCTTATTGACTTTGACTAATGCTTTTTATGTTTGTAATCCACCTTGCGATATTTTGGCATTCAAACCTGCAATCGTAGGAAGATACGTTCATTTTCCGACTCAGGTACCTATTTACCCCAAGTTGTACATCAAATCAGAAAACTGTTTCAGAAAAAAAAGGATTTAATGGACTGGGGAATTTACACAATACCTTCTCCCCTCACTAGCTCGTTTTTCACTTTTTGATGGTCAATTCAATTATCACTCTTTCACTGCTGTTCTACTCTTAGGTTTTACTAGATTCCCTTAATGTAATTCGTCTTCATTGGGCTCGATAACCCTAGTAGAGTTCTTACCTTAGAAAAACCTCTAGTTAAACTCATTATAAATCGATGTTTTAAGAATGTGAATAATGTTATTTGTGCGGTCAGGTTCAAGGAAAAGACATGGCCTTATAAAATGAACAAAAGGATATGGGCGTTGAAGCAAGTACACCTATCGTGAGACTTTCCTTATCCTCAAAATGTCCAAGCAGATCAAATTTTTTTGAATGTACACGAAATGGTATGCTGCGTACACAGTAAATATAATATAACGGTATGTATTCCGTGTTCCCAAATGTTAATGTTACTTATAAGCATTATTGGTCGCATATCCGAGCATTTTATCTCAATAGCAATTACCATTATTCGGCTCATTTGACAAGTTTTACCATACTGTTAGTATAAAGCACGATTTATTTTAATTCAAGGCACAAGATAGTTTCCACTCTACTTTTTTTGGTAGGGATGGCAGCAAGTACGAATTATAAGCTTGGCCTTATGTTAAGGGCATTTTATACAAAAATATTTTAAAACTGTACGAGCTTGGTTCATTAAAATTCGTATTATACAAGATAAATGATAGGGTAACGACTCATGCTCGGTAATTCTGTGCAATTGTGAATTCAGCTTTGATACTTTTCTCTTAATCAGGCCTAAGAAATTCAAGTTATCATAATTCTAAAATACCAATCCGGCAAGGTTGAATTTACTGATAATAAATTTGCCTGTTTTGTGTTTTAGGAAATCACAGAAGCCTTATGTATGCAATATTTTGCAATTCACCTCAACTGTCTAAGTCACCTAAGCTCAGTCATCAACTTCTTCGAGATGCCGGGCATAAATTTAAGTTTGGACTAACAAAATTGGATAAATCTGGTTGGAAAAGTGGTCGCAAATTTTCAAGATCATTGTTCACATTGAATGGTTAGTCTCTTCGGCTGGATTTGTCGAACGATTTGCTAATGGTTATTTGCACCGTATCTATTTGGGAGGCTTTAAATGCGGTCACAAAACTGTTCTTTTCAAATTTATGCAAATCATTATACTGCACAAACTTTGAGCATCAGTATTTATGATATTCTTAAACGTAAAAGACCCAAAGTAGACATCAGTTACTTAAATTTTGATGCAATAGTTCCTTAAAAGTAGTTTCACTTGTATTTTGTAACGACATCTATTTTATATTAGAAACTTGCTTTAATGATAAAATTTATGTTTTCATATATTTTGGCTTGCATTTGTTCCTCTCATTAAATGCAATTATACATAGTTGAATACTATTTGTAAGCATTTGTAGACTTTGTAAATAAGAATAGCGCATGAAGAAAAATTACTGGAAAACTACACTGAGTATCTGGATGGTCACGACACTTGTGCAAGTTGCGGGTTTCTTTACATTACTTAAAATAATTCCATTTAATAGTCTTTTGGCATGAAATAAGTCTCTTTTAAGTTTAAGTAAATTATTGCGAAGTCTAGTGGCTACTCAGTGTAGGCATTTTTTCTAATACTTCCAATAAACGTCAGATTATCATGACTGGGAGAATGAAGGGAAAGCAATGGGATTTCAATAAAAATTATTGCGGTAGAGAATGACTACTAGTTTTTTGCACTATGGTACCATGAGTAAACAATTTCACGCATTGTGTGGGGAGCTGACGTTTTGCTTCAGGCATATTAGTGTTACATGCCTATGCCCTGTTAGCATTCACTGTACTATAAATCAAAGGATTTCGCATTTGAAATCCACAGATGCAACCTCTTCTGCATTGCGTCAAGATTGCCGTATGTATTTTCTCGGATTTTGAAAAAATAACACGCTTGAAGTAATGCACGTGCAACTTTAGAAATCCAAATTTCTCACCAAGATAAATAGCAGAAGATCAAGTTAGCAGCATTTTGTTAATTTTGAAATTGATCATCTTAAAATCTGAAAATTAGTGCTATAATAGCTTTTGGTGTATTCTGGTGGTTTTTACCATAAATTTTATATCTTTTTCTATGAAGCCCATTAATTAAGGTTTTGCTAAACCTGATAGGATTTCAAGTAAGGCCTTTTGACACAAAAATTGATTGCATACACGGCATGTGTATTATCCCTGAATCGGGTTTTGGGATTCACATTTTGCTTTTTCCATAAAGAACTACAAAATTTAACCTAGACACTTGTGAACAAATTTTGGTACTGGCTATTGACCTTTATACTGTTTATATTTAATAATAGCATTTCACAAAAGGATACGTGTAGGTTAATAAATAGTGCCACGCAAAGAAATGAACAGTTTACTTGGCTCCTTTTAGATCATGGTTGACCAAGCCAACTCCAATTTAAATTACCATTATTCGTCACAGGTAATGTCTGCGTAAGCACACCAAGGACCAGAAGCAGCTTGGGAGCATATACCTGACTCTTTACTTTTCAAGAAAAACGTGTTTAGTCAGACTTTGCTGTCAGTAAGATGGGTGAAAACCGAATTTCACCGCATAAGATGTAGTCATTTTGCTACTAAAAATGTACAGTAACAATTTTTGCATTGAGTCAGTTGCAGTCATATTAGACCTTTGTAAAAGCCCTCTGCCCTGCACCATCCCTATTAAAAACCAAGGCTTTTACCTCGGAAGCCCTTTTTAAGTAGTATTTTACTATATGCCATCTTCAATACTAGCACTAAAATCATTAAAGTTTAGTAACACCGGGGTTCATTTCAATAATTATCAAATCCTTAATAATTCATGCTATTTGTAAATACTACTTCTATCTTAAAGCGGAGGAGCTATATTGCACATAGAACAAAATTTTGAAATAAGTCAGATAAGTTCGGACTGATTTTGTTCACTAATTGTTATCCCCTTTGAAGCTCTCCTCCACAGCACTTTGTTCCTGTAGCTGTTTTATTTCTCGTAATAGGCAGTAAAGTCATGGAATATAACCACTGACCTTACATGTGGAATAAGTTAAAATATTACAATGTAAGTAGAGAATTTATGCTAAATTCAAAAGGTAACAGATTAATAAAAACAGTGCAAAGCACATAGGATTGATGCATTTTTGTTTAAAAACGTAGAATGCTAAGAGTATGATGACCACTGAATCCCTTGATGTCCGACTAGAACATCGGAGCTTATCTTTAATATGAAGTCTCAAAAAAGTGAGAAAATTAGACTACAGCACTTTGATTTTTGACAGACTGTGAAGTGCCAAATTTGGATGGACCGCAGTTTTAAGTGGTGTTTAACAATCCACTTTTGAATATCCTCATCTGCTTGGCCTCATCCTTAAGATACCTTTTGTAGTTAGTCGGTTGAACATTTTCGTCTAAGAATTGGTGACGTGCAACTATTTGACAAACAAAACGTCTAAAGCATCCGAATTGATTATCTACCGTAGGTGAACTGGACTACAAATGCAAATCATTTTAGTTAAAACATCAATGATTGGAATGCCAAAGCAAACGAAAGAAAATACCGTCATCTTAACCGGCACTAACTTATTTGGATCCACACCCCAAATGTGGTAATAAGATGAAAAGGAACATAAAACATTACATTCATGGAAGCAAAGTTAAACAAGTGGAATAAGCAGTCTGACGTGAAGAAACGTGTTTGTGAACGGGCAAAACTCTATTACTGTTGATATCAAACGTACGTTGTGTTATTTCTGATGCGTAAATAACTAATAAGTACTACTTTCCGTGAGCATTATCCTTTGGTCAATGCATTTGTGATGGTGAGACATAAGTTTTAAATCTAATTTCGTAATTTCCTTCTAATTCAGAGCTGTTTAAAACAGCTTTTTACACAACTGATATGTTAAATATCTTGCCCTTTTGTATTATTTATGATAAATGAAATGCAACCAGGTAGGATATATAATCAGGGTTGTTTGCACGGGAAATATGCGTTGATTTCTTTATACTACTCCCTTTTTTCGACTTTGCAGTTTATCTTTAAAAAAACATTTACAACTTGAACTGTTTCCTGTCTTTTCAATTCATCTTGTTAATAGATGTGTTCAATGCACTTGGAATCGGTCATATAGCACTATTAGAAATATCTCAGAAACAAAATAACGCGAAGACTTGAGCAGTAAGAGTTAAATTTATGAAAGTTTTTCGCTAACGCTTGTAAGTTTGCTTTTCTGACAAAGGATTTCCAGTAGCTTTCTCACTTAACTTAGTGTTCAATTCCACGACATCAAAGCAAACATTACACTGAAGCCATCTTGATCAAACGCAACACATGATATCAATTTTAGGTATATTGTCAATTCTTATTTTTATTAACGCGAGGTTTTATTGTTTTTGTCAGGTTAGCTTAAAATCTTGTGTAAAAGATTACGAATGGAGAATGTTCAGGTAACACTGGAAGTCAGCTTACACTGCTCACTCGACTCCACGCATGTTTGCGAATCAACGATAATAGAATGAATCATTTTATTCAATTCCTGTGTGTTAAATAAAGTAGGATATTTATGACTTAATGTTTACAACAAATTGCTAATCTGACCGAAACCCGTTCTTTTACCCAGAAAGATGTAGTGAAATTCAAGACCTACCTTAAAATCTTTAAAATGTATTTAAACTTGCTATTAACAGAGCAAGACTGGTTCTCATTATAATACATTTCAAACGAGTTCAACCAAAGGGTATTAAGACAAATCGGTTGTTGTGACTGGTATGTTTCAGTGCATACCCACGGTCGATTTGATTCTTATAGTCCGGTTACGCGGCCTTTCGAACGCTGTGTCCTGATTGGCTGCAGGCGTTGTGCACATTCCCCTGCCACCACTACGCGAGCTGCCTTCAAGCTACCAATCAGGGCTTTTTCGGTTGCCAAATTTCTGCATGCGCATGCCAGAAATTTCCTCCTCTAGCTCCCTAAGACATCTAGGTTATTTCACAATAATCAGAAGCCTCTGTTTCGAGAAAACAACCCGAGACGCCAGAGAGCTGATACGATTATGTATCGATATTTCCATTCACTTTAGGTTGGGTTACCGGAACTCCAGTTTACGTCACACTCAAGCTTGGAACACGCTTTGACATTGCCTACAATGCACTGAATATTTCGGATGATGTACTTCTTGATAAGGACGTGATACTCTTCACAAGCCAAGGAAAAGACCAAAATGACCCACATCAATTCTCTTTTAATTTTGAAATCGTTGTTCCTATCGAACCACTCCTCGTTTACGTACAACTGTCAGACTGTCAGAGCAATCATTATTTTCAATACCTTATAACAAACGCAGACGTTCGGCAAAATTACGACCCGGTTTATATGCCCAAGTCAAGAGAAATGCCAATAATGCTCATTGACACACAGGGTCTTCACACGCCACTGTCATTTCTTCTGCTCTCCATCTTCCTGGGAAGTCTGTATTTGGTGCTTTTTATAGCATTTCTCATGCTGTGTTTATGCAAACCCAAACGTGAACAATTTATTGTACCAGGGCTACTTTTTCAGGGCCCCAATTTATTAAATTCACGTGCCTCCTCACTGTCATCAGCTTTAACAGAGGCTGCGAAATCGTCAACGTCAGCATTGATGGTGGAAGATCCTAGTCTCTACGCCTCACCCACCCGCGAGAACTCAAGAGCCATTCATTCTCCATGTCGTCTTCCTGCCACTGATAGCATTCCGACCACAAGAAAAATACTTATTTTCCTCTATGTCTGCTTTCGCGCATTTACGATATTTCTCTTTACATTCAGTGTAGGGCTATCAGTGCTGCTAAGCATTGAATCAGAGTCGTTTAAAACACTAGTCTCATGTGTGCAGAATGCAAAGAGTGACAGAATTAGAGAGTTAGTAAGTCAAGAGGCAATACGGCGGACGTTTTCTGCGCAAAATTCTCGAAGAATTGCATCTCCATGGTTAAAAGAACTTCGACAGATAGAGAAAGCCTCCGATATAGAACTGTCTAGCCAGGTAAGTCTAACTGAAGCCGTTCTAAGGAGCTGAAACTATTCGTGATGGTTTTCTTTTATAAATCTCCAACAATCAAAAGTTTGGACCGGGGACTTAATTTTGGCTATTAGGCTTTTTTTCAATGAAGACAATTTTTTTCCAGTCAATAATGGGTTTACCTATATTGGAGCCTTTTATTTTTTTATTTGTTTTGATTTAATATTTGAAGAAAATGCTGTCATTCAACTTCCATGTATAGTATTGGAAATACAAAAATCGACATGGGTGTGTTCGACAAATCGTACCAAAGTTGCGAGAAGCCATACTTGATAAATTTTTCGTGATTTCCTGATCGAATTGTCATTTAAAAAGTGGGCCTTTTTTCAGACGTAGCATATTTGGCTTAATTGGGGCACAACACAAAATACTGCTAATTTTATTTTTTTCGTTGGATTTTCGCTGTCTTTACCATGGAAAAGGGACAGTGAGTGAAGGCTAATGTTTTTATGGAAGTGGTCTGGTCAGCCATTTGCCACCATAAGTTCTGGGAAATGTTTAGCGAGAGAGAGCTCTCTTTTTGACGTGAATGATGTTTTCCACTATCATAAATTCAGTTTTTATTTTCAAATTTCACCATAAAATATTGTCCCAAGTTTTAATTTACTTTACACTTATCTTGGTACGCACTATACCGACACATCTTGTCCCATAAACTGTCCGGACAAATGCGTCTTAACGGTAATAAATCTTTCAGAAAGGCTTTAAGGCGTTGGACAAATGGAAGGGTATAAAACTCTGTAAGAAAGTTAATCGAACTATTACTTCCGAATGCTAAAACTTAAAAATATGTCCAAACCTTAAATTGTAAAGAGATATGACTGGTAGGAAAACGCTATTAACGCTGCCACATTTCGGTAAGTGGCCGAAATTTAGCTATGGGGATTCTCTTTACCAAGAGTTTTTGATTAATGTGCGCTGATTTAAATGCGATACATGCAAAGTATTTTTGAGAGTAAGGCAAGGGTCTTTTGCGAATTTTATGTGACGTTTTATGCTTCCTTTGTGCTAAGCACGATTGTGTTCTTTTTTGTTATACATTTATCGTATTCTGAAGTGCGTCGCCTATTTATTGTAACCGTAAAAAACCAGCTGCTAAATTTGCTTACTGCTCGGCATGTTTGTGTACCAACAGGAAAGAGGTCGGTGAATTTTGCAGATGTGAGCACAGATTGCGAAACTATGCAAATGCCATCTGCGTTTATTATCATAAAGCGTTTAGGGTTTTGGAATCATAGGTTTTACATCAGCACGAATTGTAAACGTATTTCAAGCACTTCAATCTATTAATGACATCAAGTGATACCACATTTTTATAGTCATCATCTTCTTTCATCAATTTTCGGCGGGAGAACACATTTTGACAGCTGTAAATTATTCGTTACGTTGAACTGTCTTCTACCCTCACCGATAAGATAACCACGTCTCTTAATCATCCCTTAGTCTCCTTTTTAAGACTTTAGTAAATCCTACAATTCTTATGCTGTAGTATTTTTCGATCAAGGTGTTTTCATATATGCCATTTGGGCAAATGCCTTACAATGAGTGGCTAATGAGGTTTTACTTGATTTATTAATTTGACCTTAAAGTACCTAGTAAAACATTTTGACTTCACCCGAATCAACTTCTCCCAAGCAAATTATATTGCATAGAATGCAAGAAAAAGGCCTATTATGGGCCTATCCAATTCGACTCTCTTCCCATCTGTGACCGGATTTCGATGCGTAAGATACCTTAAGCCACTTTATGTAACCTTTAGAAAACTGCATTAATTATTTAAGTAAGACATATTTTCATAATAATAAGCATACTTTATCACAATAAAATAGTACTGTTTGTGCAGAGAAATTGCAGCTCCACTATAAATGCCATTTGAGCCAAGTAATAACGTATTTTTTTCACTAAACGATTTATATAGTTACACAACTTTTGGTAATGATTAGCTGTCGAGTTTTGCTTTTGCTGTTTTTAATTACCGTTTGAGTTTGGCCCTACACTTTGCATATTTTGGAAGCTGTTTTATAGCTCATCTTAAAATTTAGCAATTCAAATGATATTAATGTCACTTACTTTATTTCGGTCTTTACATGCTTTTCACGGAATCAGGAGTCATGGCTGAAATCATTTAATTAAAAAACATTTTCCTTCCTTGTCCCAGTTCAAGTCAAAGTTGCATGGAAGTCGCAGCTTTGTGAGTCTATCCAGAACATTTTGATTTATAAGTGCATACTTCTCCAAACTTGATACTGATAAAATTAAAGACCTTTGACCTTTTTAGCTAATTGCAAAACAACCCTCTGAAATGGAAGAGGCTTATTAAACACTGAAGCATTCTTTTTATGCTAAGATATATGCATTTATTAAACGAAAAATCATTTGTGCAGATGGTTTCGTTTTATGGTGAAAAGACCTTAAGAAATCATAAATGACTACCACAAAAAGTAGGCAAAAATTGGAATTTTTCATAATTTTACTTTAAATTTGCCATACATTGGGGATATAAAGCATTGATTAATTAGCTAGTTTTTTTGCAATTCTAAATTTGTTCCAAAAGATCTTCCAACAGTAAATATATCCTTACTTATAATTTACAACTTTATTTAATCTAGTTCTGATTCATTTTGATATCGGGTTTCCAAGGTTTTAAATGGAATAAAACTTCTGCTCCAATTCCTCTTTACAAAGTCAATTAATAGAGCAGTTTTTTGTCTATCAGAATCAATAAACCATAAACTTATTTGGCATCAAAACATATTATTTGCCACCACAATATAAAGGCCAAGAAAATGCTTCCACCAATTGCACGGGTTTCTTTTAATTTCCGGACTAAGTAAATATGACATGTGTATATTTTTAGACAACAAACTTTATCCGACAGACATCAGCATGTGAAATGCAAGAGTTGCGCGTCTCAGGCGAGGTGGGACTTTCGATGGCTGAAGTTGCCAGTCTCGTCTCGGCGAGGACTGATATGAATATATCTGGAAATAAACTGTCACAAAACGATCCTCAAAATTTTGTTCATTACATAGCTATTGCAAATATAACGTGGGATTACCTAGAAAGTGAATATTGGAGTCCCCATAACATTTCCATTCAACGCTATATGGAAGATGTGAGTGTTGATGTAGCTTTAAATGTTGAATTGCGTAATTGCAGTTAATATATCTTGCTTATCTTACAAATAATCTTACACATTTTAGCAGAATCTGAGATTTATTTGCTCCGGAATATGTACAGCTGGAAAAGGGCTAATTTATTTCAAGCCATTCACACGTGGGTGCCGGTGCAATGGGTTGCACTAATATGTGGGAATGAGGTTTTGTAGAATAATATTATCTCAGTGGGTAATATATAAAGTATTTAAATGCTACATTAAATAGGTCATCTCAGGGAAATGGGAATTAGATAAAATATTAATAGAGGGCGTTTTCATGAATCCCCAATTTTAATGTGGCTTTGGCTCAGTCCCTAGCAGGCTGTACCAGTAAAAAGGGGACTTTACTGTACAAAATGCTCATTGTTATTCTTCCCTTGTTTTATTTATTACACTACCTTATTAATTTTATTCTACAATGTTGGCTTCCACTTGAGTAATTATGTGCACTGATATTCTTTAAAAACTATAATCTCAGGCTTCTTACTTCCTAACAGAACGATAGATATTAGAACTCTAAAGTCTCCATGTTTTGTTGACGCCTTACATAGTGTTGAACTGTTGCTGTTATTGGAAAATAAAGCTCTAACAGTGCGATTAAAATGCCGTGTTTAGACAAGGGGCCTTCTTGACAATCAAATGGTTCAACACTGGTCCCCATATACACTCTTGCTGGAGCGAATGCTGGACAATCCCTGGTTGGCGACTGCACGCAGAGCCATGAATGCTACAAATGATGCACTTCAGAGCCCTGAAATTGTTCGCTTTAGTGTACGTTCGCCTTCAGTACCCGAATATTTTGCCGGACTAACTCCAGCTGATCCACAAGAAGTTGAAGCCCTCACTTTTTCAGGATTCCTTGGGATTCCACAACCCGCCAATGCTCGTTACGCCGAAGCTCGAATGTGGAATAGGTGAATTATATTAATCCCACTAAGTAGTAGCATGGCTGGCTACGCTTGCATATTTTTATATAGTTATTTTCATTGCCAATAATGAGTGCTAGAGAAATTGGCTGTTGGACACTAATATGGAGTTAATGAGGCTGACTCTATTTGTGCTATAACATTACGCTTATCCCGCCGACATGGAAGCAAAAAAGTTTGCACGTGTCTATTTTCAGAAAAACTAAAGTTGACGATTCCCATGTAGTCGAAGCACGGTCTCTTTTAAATCCCAAAGATTGCATTTTAATGTTGGGAATTAAAAATATTCTAAAATGATCCTTTATATTAAAAGATTTCGGTTTTATTAAGCCTTCGACAAAATGTTCACACACTAAAACTCCTCCGATACTTTGAGAACGTAAAGAACACGGAATCGTCAGTATTCACGGCCCAAGTTTTTGGACTTTCACAATCTCCAGATCCTTTCAAATATTATACTTATGGTGAAAACTTTACAACAGATGATTTGGATAGTCTATCATCTGATTTGGCAGCAAGTATATTACGGGATCAAGTGAACCAACGCAGCTTAACAGCCATTTTAGCAACTGGGTGAGTGCCAATCTATTATTTTGCCCAAAAGTGCCCATTATTTTCATGACGAATAAACTATTCAACCCTTTAGATGAGACTTTCTAAAACTTTATTAGCTTACTATGGACTATCATGAGGCCAGGTAAAGAGGAAAATATATGACCGTACTTTAAAGCAGTGATGAGGCCATCATGAATACCAGGTGTAATTGGTGATTATTCGGGTGAAAGCGCCTGATTTTTGTTATCAAATTTTACACTAGGATTATCGATGCAGTTAGTGGTGTGATAATATTATCGTGAAAGAGTTTTTAAAATTAAGCTCTTCAGTCAGATTTAAAAGTCATCTTTTCTGCCTCAAATGGTGCAGTAAATTTGACAATTTCCATTGCAATTTTAACCAATCCTAAGTATTAAATTTTAAGTAGGAAAGTCGTTACAGCTCTCTACAACTATTCAAAATAGCTGACTTTTAGCTCAATAGTTGTAATCGAATAGCATCTCTATAAATTAACCATCTATGCTATCAAATGCCAAAAAACCTTTATTTCGTTTTTTTGGTTGGGGAAGGTTCGCGACAGTTAAGTGCATTAATTCTTTCATTTTCTTGGCTTAGAAACAAAAATAAAGTTTCCTCTCTGCGTGAATGGATAAATGTAGCTTATTTACGAGTCTTTCTACTGGTTCTGGATGCCTATCTAATTGTATCCCGATTTTACTCCGCATGCTGTAATTTCTGTGCTCTTTGGCTTGGTAAACGTCGACGGGTGTACCACAGCACACATCAAAAGTTGAACGCTCCAAAGAAAAGGCAGACTCTAAATGAGCATCCTAATGACGCCCTCTTATTAACGAGCAGTGAAATAGAGCAACCGAATTTACCTAATGAAACCGACCTATCTGCATGTCCAACGACGTGCCCAGCTGAAAACAATGTGAGTTTTTAAACAGTTTTTTAGCAAAGCATGCAATTTGCTTGAAGTTATCTGGCGTTATCTCTAGTTTTCAGATGCACTTTTCGCGCGGCTTTCTTAAATCCAAACCATTGCATATAGTCTCAAGAGTAGTCCTAGTGCCGTTCCTCGGTACCACTTTTTTGCCCTTTGTCTGTCGATTGAGAATAAGTGGGACTCGTCCAACTTATTTAATTGCACAATGCTGCGCTTTAATTTGTTTGATATATGCCATTTGAATCAATATCCACCGCATTCAAAGCAGTCTGACTTAATACGAACTGTTATTCAGGCTCAGAATAATATTTCACCACATCAGCCGCCACCCTTTGACGAAGCGGGCAATCAGAGCATAAATGCTTTCTCAGACCACACGGACGTAAGTGGCAATGGTTTCCCAATTTTCTTCCCTTATTTTAGCACCTGTGACAATTTTTTCGAAAGTGTAGGAAGTGTGCATGGACTGGAAAATTTAAGTAAAGTCACACGTATATCGCTGTGTGCTTGATATTGACTTGACACCTGAACATACTAAAACGTGACCAACTTTTCCATAACTTCGCATATTTACACAAGAAAATTAATCACAACTTTCATTTCCATTTGTCCAAAATTCTGGACTCGCTTTATTTAGTCTTTAACCAAGGAGCTAACTGCTCACTTTCCTCTAGAATTAGAATTTTGATTCGTTGAAAAAGTATTTTCTCGGTAAATCCATGTAACATTTCCTGCTCACAATTATCTCCTTAATCATTCATATTTAATGAAGTTGATATTGCACTATATTTACACCACAGATGAGCTTGTAAAAAATATGTATATTTTAGCCAAATCCCATTCAAAGTACTGTATCAAGAAGTTGGTTATATGTGGTGCCCAGAGACTTCCCTGAAGACAGAAGAAGACATAATACTTGGTCAATGTATGTATGCATATGACATAAAGTGGGGCTTGAAGCTATTGGCATGGCTTGGAGGCCAGTCCATTTAGCGAAGGTAAAGTAACGACGCACTTAAGTGGCCACATAACCAGCACTGAGAGTTTAACAAGTACTCGAAGCACCACATATATGCCGTAACTTCTGTGGCCATTTAGGGCTCCACCGTACAGAAATAGCCATATCTGAAACCGCATGCTAACTAATTTACTTACTAAGGTCTGTAAACCATGCCTTTATACTTTGTAACTCGTCGAGATCTTCTTCGTTTTATGCATCCCTAGTGCATAAAATTTGTTCAGTTACCTTGATTTGTACTTTTTGCTGCAATATTTTGCTATTATTACGACCCAAAAAGCAGCAGCTAATTGGCATCATCCCTTCAGAAGACAATATTGCCTTCACCTGACGAAGTTTTAACCAAATTTTGCCACTTAGTTTTTTTCCTTTTGAGACGGCGATCTTCTTTTGTTATTAAAATAAGAATGCACTTTGATTTTGTTCATTTAATCAAATCGCACATTAACGATGTATGAAACTATTTGACACCTCCATCCAGTTGTAATGGTCTTAAGGTCGAGTACCTGTAGGATGAATTGCACATTTACAAATGCCTGGGACACGTTACGCATAAAATAGTCTGGTAATATTTCATCCCAAGTTCACAAACCAAAATTTAGCTAGTGTAAACTTTACTTCACTTTAATTAAATACACCTAATACGCACATACATTTATTGTGAGAGCGGACTCACCTGACTATGCTTCATTTTTTCATTTGGGACAGACCCGTAAAAGTAGGTATGTAAGAAAGAAAAAGTAGCGGAGAAATTTCTTTGCGAGACTTGTGCCTACTAAACTTGCATTTCAGTCCCAATATGTTCGTGCTGGCAATAGCACGCATGCTTCTGCCACTGTTCCGCACCATACGATCACTGCAACTGAGTTGAGCAACGATCCTGAGGCGGCCGATTTCACTGAATTCAATCGCCGAAGAAGTCTTCCGGCTTGCTGCTGCTGTCTTGATTTCCACTACTTGCTCATTCTCTTTGGCATTTGCCTTATGATTGTCGGTTTCGTAATTAGCAGTGGTGCTGGAAAGGGGCTGGTTAATAGCTGGCTATTGAAGAGGTAAGTTTTGTCACCAATAAAACATTTGAAAAAGCGTTGTCTTAATTAAAAATCCTTCAAAAAAATTATTTATTATTCATATGTGTATAATGTGACGTGTAATATTATTTCATGAGTTCCCAATCTACAGATTTCACAAACTTCGAATAAACCGTTTTTCCAAAAGTGAACCTGTGATTTTGGACTGTTTTTGCCAAGGCTTTAATGTTCTACCATCGTAGAACTTTTGCAATCACATAGAGGTCCTTACTTATAATACAAACTGTCTTGTGCAAATCAGAATGTTGTGCGCCATGAATAGTGGGAATTGGGAAACTTGGCGCTTTTACACACACCTGTCGGAATGTATACAATAAGGTCTCAGTGAAGAGTTGGAGGGAGAAGGGCGCAGGGTTGTTTGTCTCGATCGCAGTTCAACCATGCGGGAGTGAGACATACGCCCAGAAATGTTTTTCCTCCATCGTCAGACGCAGTGCATTTGCAATAAGATTGGATTTTGGTAGTTGTATGTTTCAATACCCCTCAGTTATCTTCAAGCAGTTCCTTGTCCTAAATACGCATTTGATAGTGTTATTTAAATAATTTTTTATTTTACCAGTTAAATTGCCCAGGCTTATTAAGTTTTGTCAAAAATATTTCTTCTTCGTCCATATTGTTTGTGTGGAATATGTTAGAGAGCTGTGTATTTCATCCATACTGTCGTTCACAAAGCCCTTCAATGCCAATTAGCTGGAGCTGCTCAATTTTTAAAAGCAATTAGAGGTGTTCGGCTGTAAATTTATCTGGAATGCTAGGCTAAAACATTTATGCCGACTCGGACGGCCACAAGGTTAATGAGACTTTGTTGTAAAGATTTTGGCTATTTCTGGGAGGCGTAAGAAAAACGCTTTCTTGGAGATCGTTTGAAATGGTAATATATAAGACATTTGAAGTTTATTTTACTAATATGATGGTGATTCACCGTTTTCAAATAAAACAGGTAAGGCCATAATGAGGGGTATTTCGGGCAGATAGCAGCCCTGGTGGATATTGCTTTGGTCATTTTCATACCATATGCAAGTGCCCCTAATATCATTTAAGTCCTTTAAAAAGTAGAAAAAAACTGCGAAATACTTCTAATTAGCATATTTAGAATAGAACAAGTAAATTTATCTCCTTCTTCGTCAAGTTATTTCTCTTGGTGACTCTTAAAGACCGCAAACACATGCGCTAATGCTTATGTTATCAAATGGAAAGGCACAAAATATTGCACACCTTAACTTTGTCGATATTAAGTACTCATTCAGATGCATTTGTGACGCTTTTGATGAACTCCTTAATGGCCACTATATATTTTAAAGCCGTTTGATTACTTTAGGAGCGCGCTTCTTTCACGAGTAGAAGCAATGGATGATTATAGACGTCATATGCGAGCGATGGTCCATTATGTCCAGTTGAACTATCTCAATTCTCAGCGACTTCTCCTAGAACGCAACAAGTCTGCAAGGCAACTTAGGAGGCTGCAAAGAATCCAACACTGGTTATATTATGAGAAGGTACGATCCCTTTTTGTGTATTATTCTAATAAAAGACAAGCGAACACTGAAAAGCGTACTCTGACATTTTTCCATTGCTTCTTATCTTTGTAACCTATTGAGTTGTAAAGCATGCACTTTAATGTCAAAACAGCACCCATACGTTCTTTTATTTTAGATGCTTTGTTTGGTGCTTAAACGACTTGAGGTTAGGAAATTATTTACAAAGAATGCTTGATGGGCAATGCATTTTGCAGGCACCTATCAAATAAGGGGGTCAGAGTGACCCAAGACTAGATAACTTCTCCCTTTAGAAAGTAGAAATTGCTTTAGCATGAAGATGCTTCGGATAGGTTGGTAATTGTAATTTGTAAATATACCGTTTCTTATGTACCTGGACACATATGAAATGAAAATACTTTCCCAATTTTCAATTCAAGTTCTATTCCTCAATTGAATTTGCATCGTAAGCAGTTTAGCCATTTCTTATTTGGTAAACGGTGAAGTTTTTACATAGCTCATAAGGAAAGGGGAATTTGCAAATGTCATATCTCAAGAGTGCGCCTCATAAAAATGTTATTAGTTTAGTAATTTTCTTCAAATGAGGGCACATTAAAATGTCTGCTGGTATTTTGCTAGCATGCAATCTAGGTTCATCTGCATACGCACGTAAAAAGGCAACTGTGCTAACTGGAATCACATTCACCAACCCCCCCCCCCCCACTAATCATTCGTTTAAGATTATTGTAGTGCTTTCCGTAGTTTTGACAGTCCCGTGTTGCCATTTAACTCCTTTGGGCATATTCAAAGTTTAGGTTTCACGTACTTGTATGCATCGCATACAAACGTTTCATAAGTATAAAGTTGGTTTCGTTTTCAGTACGCCACACTGCAACGAATTAATGACGATTGCTCTGCCCCCCTTTCCTGTTATTTAAACCCTTATAAAATATAAATTTACCTTAACGTGATTTGGGTTTGTATACTTTACGGGTTTCAATTTCATTCCAAGACTGGAGAAACCACTCTCCGAAACTATATTAGAAAGACCTCTGTAGTTCTTTTTTTGCAAAACCGGTACAAATTTGCATGATGTTTGGTGTGCAGATGTTACTGAATAGGGGGATGCCTACAGACAGTCTTGGTAGAGGTTTTGTAATTTTTATTTTAGGAGTATATACTGAGGCGAAATCTTTATGAAGTTTGTGCACTCTCCGAGTCAAAAGGTCGAAACCGACAAAGTTTTTACGTTTTGGATAGCTCCATCTGTCACCGGATAAGGCAAGACCAACAACGACGACAACATTCCCCATATTCCAGTATGGCTTCGCGTAAGCTACAAAAGAGCACGACGTCTTTTATGTCTTCCCAGGATCAACTCAAACTCCCGTTTTGCACACTTCTGCCTGTACAGTCTACAGGTAATCCTCGAAATGATAAGAACTGATTTTACTTGAAGTCAGTGAGCGTCATTATTTTTTCAGCTACATTTTTTAATTCGAATAAACTTCTCATTTATGCCGGGAAGTTATCAATAATACTATAGTGCATTTTCCCCTGCTGTACTGTCGAGTCTACTGTTGCTAAGTTTATGTATTGGAAATTTTGAATCATTTTGCCCTCACTTGCACTTTAATCCAGTGCATAGCATTGGTACATCTATGTAATAGGCTGAAATATATGCCTGAAAATGTGACCATCATAACTCTTTGATGGATGGGAAGTCATTGGCAATAGTATGCATCAAAGGCAGGCCTGAAATGCTAACCTTTTATTTCCATTTGTTAAAACGTATTTCGAAGTCTCTCCTACCGCATCATGCTTTTTGTTTTAGATCATGAAAATTTATTGAAACCTCTTCCTTGAACGTTAACCCAGACAAATAGCTTTCGGATTTGATTTAGCACTACCATAAAATGCAGAAGTAACTTAAGTAATTTTCCTCTGATTAAAATAGACTAAGAACTAAAAAAGTTGCATTTCCTTACTACTGCTTTATGATAAAAGGTAACATTGAAGAAACGGACATGAGCTATCCATCTGTGCTTTCATTAAAATTGTATAACTAGCCTCATGCACGCAAAACCTTTTTTCATGAGAGCAATGCGCCGACTCAAATGGAGACCACCACACTGTTAATCATTTACTTGCCATACACAGCATTTTTAATGGGCGTATTAAATTTCTGCTTATTTTTTAACCAAAATTTGATGGCCATTAATGAAAGTGCATGCGAGCAAAATGAGTGTCCGTTCAAAGAGGTCCATGTTTGTCCCCAGTTCTTTGCTTATGCAAATATGTCGTCACAATTAAAAGTATAAGTATTGCTGAGAGCCCAGGCTATGACATAATGCATTAACTCATCTTCTGCAGATGCTGTCAACTCCAGCCTCAGCACACGGGAAAGACATACGATATTAGGGACGGAGAAATCAACAAGCGTACTATCGGAACAGGAACTACGCCAGCTTCATCAAATGTTTTTTAAAAACTCCGCTTTTGCTGCTTTTCTCACAAGTCTTTATCGCCTCCTCTTTACAACCCTACTTCTCTCAATGTGCATCTGCTGGTTGCTTGCCTGCAAGCACTTGATTATGCAGATGGCGACCCGCACTGTGGCTGTTGTTACTAGCAGGGTACGTAGAACATTTTTGCTCTAACATTTGAGGAGGTACGCTATGCGGGCAATCTCGGAGCGAAACACCGTTAGTCAATAAGATAACGGTATGCCAACATGTGCCTTAAATGACCGTTTCCTCAATTGTGTTTTGAGCAGGGTGTTAGTATTAAATTAATCTTAAATAAATCACATTGAAGAGTCAAAGACAAACAAAGTTCCTTCTAGCTGAACATATCTAAGTTAGGAATCCTGAATAGAACTAATGCGCAACCTTTAACTAAAAACTGGTTGTTTTATTGGAAATGTAGGAACATTCTAATTTACTCAGCTTTTGAAGTTGTTAACTTTTTTTTCCACAGATGACTACAAAACAAAATTCATGAGACAGCAATAAAAATGCGTTTGTAAACACCAAATAACTTTCAAAGTCGGCAGCTAGTGAGGCTGGGATGGCTTCTTTGCCCGCGGTCCCCGTGATAAAATCGCTGTAAAACTGTTTGGCACGTAGGAAGTCCATTTTCCTAATTTCTACCTGCTCTAAATAACACACGGTTTGAGAGGCATTTAAAGTTAATGCTGGTGGTTTTGCTGTATTGCCTTAGGTGACGGTGATCTCACCCTGTCCTCCGGGGGTGCGTCGAATCGAAACTTTCATCTCTTCTCCGAACAGTTCCCTTTCCTTCCACCGCCCTGTTGTTGAAGGTATCGCTCCAACTCGACTTAACATATGGCACTTCGATGATGATCCCTCAAAAGATTTCCAGAACCCCCACTACCTTCCAGCTCCAGATCTTCCTCCACATGTGCCCAAACACTCAGCTTCTCATTCGCTTATGTCGTCAGTATCCCGCAAGAAATCAAAAAAGCATTTTCACTTCAAAGGAAAATTGATCCAGGCAAAAACCCAAACTGATTCTACAGAATCGCAGGTGTAGTTGTTGTCCTCTTCTATCCCATTCCTCCTATACTTTCTGTATGTATACATCATATGTAAGTACAGTCAATTTTAGTAGTGCATTTTTTTCACGATTCTAAGACCAAATGGTTACACTTGGTATTGTCTTGACTACGGTAGTAATTAAACTCACTGATGATTAAGACAAAAATGATGTAAAATACCATTCAGGAAAAATTCAATGAGCAATTTTAACTCTAAATAACATGGTTGCGACTTTCCAGTTTATATTGTCCTCGATGGTATATTACTATGAAAAATATTGGAGTGACCCAGCGAATTTTCGCATCAATTAAAACCATTGCTTTTTGTAAGTTCCCCAACAATGTATCCTTGTCAAGTCGTACAGTTCCTTTATTCAAAACATACTCTTCCAACGGAGATAAATGCAATGAGATGGGAAGCTCTATCGCCCAATCATTTCAAATGCCCGAGTTTAAATGCTTCCAAAATTGAGCATAAATGTTTCAAGGGTGTTGAAATTTCGCTATATACTCAATGAAACCTGAAAATCAGTGTGAAATGTGAAAAGGATTGTTTATTTGCCATAGGCAGCTGTGTCCATCGTAAACGGTTTACGTAAAAGCTAATTCTAAAAGATGTGGATTGAGAAGACGTAAATCATCATAATTCGCCCTTGATTTGGGACACTTTCAAATAGACCCTAGCCTTGCCAATCAAGTCCACTTTCGTTACAGCAACGCCAACATTATTAAGCAAAAGGTAAACTTGCTGAATATGTTCAATACCACTTTCAATTTACTCATTGGTGCATAGGCAACATAATTTCAGACCTTAGTCAGCAGGGAATCTTGAGGCTTCCTTTTCCTTGTCTATTAATATTTCCTACTTTTTGTCAATGGTCTTTAATACCAATGTGAAAACCTTTTATTAAAGGATATAAGAGCTGGGAGGCTATAGGTATGATCAGATGGCCATGCCGTCTGGCGGAAGTACCACTCGAGGAGATCAAAAAATCCCTCTTAATTAGGCTCATAATTAAAAGAACCCATAGAGAGTAGTCTATGTGAATCCACAGCATACAATTAACAAACATCTAACGATTTCCATGTGTTTATCAGCCTATTACTGCGAGTTTTAGAGTTAGGATTATAAACTTCATTATTGACCTGGCGCAGAAAATACCTCCTAGAAAAAATACTTTTCTTGCACAATCTGCATTGAATGCAATAAAGCAATTTCTGGAAACTCTCCTGCAACATAGTCAGTTACATCTTCGCCCTGGCCTTATCCAGTGCTCTGAGAGCCCTGTAGAAAAAATCAATGCAGAAAATTTGAGACAGCAATACTTAGGAATGCTAATGATGAAAATCGATCTGAGGAGGGACCTGTGCAAGGAAATAAACTTGTGCCAACGGAGAGAACCAAGTAACAAAAGCTATGTACTTGAGTTGCGTTTTCCCAAATCCCACCAAGCACTGCACTTCCCTCAATCCATTCATTTGTTGTACGGAATATTTGCGGCTCAGCGGTCGGATTACTGTAACCTTTGGCCAAGCATTAAATAAGGTCTATAAACAAACAAGGAAATGGTCGGATTGTTAAAAATACGTATTTGTAGTGCAGTGTCCCGTGTTCCCCCTTAAGTTTTAATAAGCTAGTCTAGTAGGGAAGAAGATTCACTACTTATGCTTATGATAGGTAGGAGCATTCCAACACGACTGGAGAGCCATCCCACCTAGAGGAAGTGCCATTCGTTGAGAACGAGAAATTCGCCCAATTAAGCACACAATTAAACGAGGTATCGAATTACTAGAGTTCCGTTTTCTGGTTTGTTAATGCTTACTTCAAATAAAAATTTGTCTAAAGACGAGATAGAAAGTCTTGTTTCTTCAGGAAACATGCTATGATCTTACGTTGAGTTATTAACACGTACACAGTTTTACAAAGATATTTAGGGTATGATGATCAATACTCGCTCCAAGGCGTCACATTACCTATGAACAACTGGCCACAGAAATGCAAAAAAATAGGTACTTGCTGTGATTTTGCCTGAGTACAAACATCTCTGTCAGAGTAAACGTTACATAATCTATTTATTTATTTATTTGGCAAAATAAATGCCAATTAGTTGTAAGGTCAACAAGAATCGGAAGGCAAGCTATATATTCGGTTTCGTAGACAAAAAGCAAGATTAAAAAAATCATGGGCAGCACGCACACTATTTAGTAGTGTGAAGCTCTTTTTGGAAAATATTTAAGATAATATTTCGTGAAACGAACTGTTAGTAAACATTTTAATTGCCTGAGGAGCGGTGAGAACACATTTGATAAGTCTAAAAATTGAGTTTTTTGGTGTAATTTTGGTTTTCTATATGTATTCATTCACGCGTATATTTGTTTATTTCACCAATTCGGTTTTTTAAGTTAATCGCAGATGGAGGGAGTTGTGAGCGTCCCAAGGTAAAGTGTTGTGTGGGGTGCTGTTGTTGCGGGTATATACGGTGATTTGAAGCTATCTTTCATTTCATTGAAGGAGCTTTGTTTTTCTGTTGCATATGGTGCCCTAGAATCGTTTCGTAACCCCATTCTTTAACTAATTAGACTCGTATCACTGAACAAGTACCCGTACGAAGCGTTTGTTTGCCATCCGTAACCAACATATCTAATAATACCTCTTCATGATCAGTTGACAGTCAATTTGTGCACACATCACGGTTACATACGCAGGTTACTTTGATGATAATGGTGATGTGTTAGGTTTATTGCAGTTGGAAGGAAGAACAAGGTGCCTACTGGTGGATACTTTTGTTTCGAATTGCTTTTAACTTTTACACTGTTAATGCCTCACTCGCATCCTGGCTGATAGTGGGGGTGTTTAGTCGATAGGTGATTGTAGTCTGTCCCAGCTTTATTGCCAATTTCTAGAAGAGTCAGGTATTTGGCAGATTTGTAGCCTGTTGGGCTCTTTCCTGAAATCGCCTTTGCTAAAACACGTGAACTATGAGCAAGTACCCAATTAATTTATGTTCAGAATCGTAAGTAGGTCTGGGATGTTTGATGCTGGCTTTCGGTGCTTTGTTGAGCGTTCGGTTTTCGCATGTATTTGTGTCCTACCAGCAGTTCCAAAATCCCGGAGATGCTGTTTGTCATTCTTGTAGATAAGAAACATGCTTAGATTCAAGCATCTGCTCCCGCTGGCGTCATTATTTTTGGTGACGCTGTACATGTACTTTTTTCTGGCTGTTCAAAACAAACCAAGTAATTGCGGGACTTTATTGATTTCAAGCCCTGAACTCAAAAGTTCTCAGATTCGCGGAGGAAGTGTAAATATATCGTAAGTTGTGAACATATTTCTAATAATAGTTGGAAATCTCTGTGTTGTCTCTAACCTTCAATGATTTTCTACTGTTCGTAACTAAACAATCAATATGCTACATCCTAAATTATTATTACTTCCTGCTTTTTCAACTACATTTAGTTAAGCAGAAAAAATATATTTTGGACAAGTTCTACTGCAAGTAGTAAAGGCTATTTTACCCATATAGGGAAGCCGTGGCATGAGATCCTCTTGGATGGGCATCGAATTGATCGTTTCAAGTGCATTACATAGCATTGCTGATAGACATGGTGACTTGAAAATGGTACAAGATTATACGGCCAAAAATACAAATTTATTCCCTTGGCAGATGAGCCAAGTGACATCACGAGGCATCTTTCTGCGGTATCGTTAAGTGCCTTTCTGTTCAGCAAAGTTGGGGCAAGGGTGGAAGTCTTTCAGGTTGTTTCGATGTATTATTTTCTATGGGCTGCAGTCTTCCAAGTTTTTCCTTATTTCTGAAGGGGGTGAAATTGAATAAATTGAAATGCTACTAGTGTGGTGCACACCAGCTCATTTGGCATGGCCTGGTGTGTCAGTCAGTTTTCAGCCTACAGGTATTTTGATAGGCGGTTATTTTTTGTATTTTAGTGCTTCAGAGGGAACTTTTCAGACAAAAAGCGGTAAGTTGCCTTTTGCCTCGTATCAACGCATCTGACTCACTGGTATTCGCGTCACTATGGTTTTTAAGAAATATCATTTGCTAATTTACTTGGGTAGTCGGTCATTTACTTTTCTTTGTTTGATTTAAAAGCCCATACATTACTAATTTCTTTACTGTCCACTCCTCTACCATTTCGTGCTGCCTATCGGTTGATTTCATTTTTATTTAATGACTTTTCTCCTTGTTCAGTGAAGGCTCTTGGAGTTGCCCCATGCTATTGAAACGTGTCGTCCCCTGGAATACTTCAACAGTCAGTCTTGATTTGATAGGCACGAGTGATTTTACATTTAAAACAGTCGAGTTTTTATTATCAAACCATTTTATTAAGTTCCCTTTTGATTGTCGTAGTTCAAAATGCATTTTTGCACTCAATATGGAGTCTGGGCGCTGTGAACTTAGGGTTCATACCACTTAGAGAAGAATCCTAGATGGCAACCTTTAAATTAGGATTTTCGGGCTTTTCACTATGTTTCCCATTTCCATCATTGCGATATTTCAAGGAATCGACTACTTATTTTCCTGGTTGTTAAGGCTAAAACATCAACTTGGAGCAACTTTTCGATTATGTAAGCTTGGTTTATGTGTCTTTAGATAAGTCCATTCAGGTGATTGTCTTCGTTCTTACTCTACCCTATTTTGTCAAATTTTTTTCAATCCAACCACCTCAAGATTGCGCTCCAGAAACGGCTTCTTTATTTTAGTGGATGGTGAGGGATTGTTTACTTGTTGCATGAATTTCTCTACCCTTGCTTTGTTTCTTCAGATATGCCTTCTTAACCAATAGGTGATTTGCTCGTGTGCTCCTTCAGATGCACTTATTCATTAAGATGACGAAACACATGGGAACCAGTACGTTTTTTTCGTCATGGTGTCTACGTAGTTTAGCCCTGGGCATTTGGCTCCCTTTAGTCTAATCATATGAAATCAAGTTTATCCCGTACGTTTTCACTGTTGGACGATGTTGAACGCTTAAAGTGCTTTGCTTTGTCGGTTCTTTGCTATGACTTTGCAAGTCTTACCAAGCCAGGGTGGTTTATTACACTTTTCTTGCCTCCGTAACAGGCTTTTAGCCTTAATTTTTGTTGCTCTTGTGGCTTGAGCTGCAATCCCATCACCCATTTCAGGTTTTCATTTGGAATTTCCTCTCACGTACTATATTTGTGCTAGCATACTTGTTCATTAGTATATTTGCGACATCGAAAAGTCCAATTTGAAGTTCACCTTCTAAGTATAGGAATTTTGTTTTCTCTATAAATTGGAGCATTGTTTTTTGACCCGTTTATATGCGTTAGTAATGTATACATTCTCATTCTATGAAACCTCTCGAAGGCATTATATCATGTATGGTACACCCTTTAGATAACCCGATTTGACGTAACACTAAATGTAGTACTGGGACTTGTTCATCAAGAACTTATTTGGCAAAAAATTTCCGAATTTTAGCAGCCCTGTTATCGATTATCCACTTCCTTGGACGTCGTTTTTCTCTACATCTCAGCATCGTTGCTCGGTCCCAGCCATCACATTCTCCAGCGTCGGGCAATCCGACTGACGCGTGAGTCGCGCTACCTGGTCCAGTCACAACTTCGCCAGTGGCGTGAGAAGACGCCTCCTGTGGGTGAGCTCGCCAAGCAGATCGATGAACTTCTGTCGGTTTTCTCTGATCTGACTGATTTGTTGGAGGTAAATGTGGAGGGCCTGGCACGCGTCGAAGGTGCTGCTAATGCTCAACGAATTGCTCTCCAACGTCTCTCCAACGTCTTCAATGCCGAACTGCAGAAGCTGCAAGTGGGTGCCGTCTCTTTTGGTCACTACCATCAAACCCACTTTAAGCTATCTCATTATTTAGCCTTACGACTTATCATATTAGTCACGCATCTAAACATCTTTAATTTGCCATACACATTATCGTTGAGTGTGGGGACCATCACCTCTAATGTGTCCATACTTTTGCCTCATAATTATTCACCAGGTTTGTGTGACTTAGCAAATCAACCACGTCACAGTGGTGCATTTGCTCCTACCACTTTTTTGGGATCTGTTGCTACATTCGTGAAAAGGACTTAATTCATCGAATATATTATTCTTGTATAATTGAAATTGCCATTGTATTTTCATCAATAATATATTTGGCGCTTTGAACGTTGGCTAGTTACTTTCTAAGATGTATATAGTCTAAACTTATTGCAAAGTTTTTCGGCATCACTCAACCAACTTTCTCCTCACTTTTTTTCAGAATCCGGAAGATTGTAACAAAGTGAAGCACTTGGTCGTTGACATCAATAAAGCATGTGGATTTGGTTGCCAATTACACCACGCAGCGCACTGCTTTCGGCTCGCCATAGCATCTGGTCGTGTTCTACATTTAATCAACAGCACATATTCTTACTCTAAGAGTGGTTTCTCTTCAGTTTTTAAACCTCCCACCTCCTGTCCTCTCCCTGAAACTGTTGCCAAAGCGCACACAATTACGTGGGGGTGTGAGCTGACCTCGACCTTTTTTTAATTTGCTTTCTTGTCTAATTTAATGTGATGAAAGTGGGCACTCGTGTGTAATTTATTGCACGCAGTAGGGCTTGGCCTTTTAGAAAATGTACCTGTGCGTCGTTTTTTGCAATCGTAACATTTTATTTATTCATCCTGATTTGTACTGATAATGTAGAGATCTCTTGTTTAATGTTGGATACGGGAGTTGTTTATTAGTACTGACACCCATTCTTCTATTTTTAAAGGTATGCATAAAATACCATCTGTATAAATAGCTCTATCTAGGGTATGGTATTCTATGATCTATAAAGAGGTCGTTAACCTCCATGCTTAGATTACTCATTTCGCTATTTAAAGCAAGTGTTGGTGTAACTTTAATCTGAAGAATTATTGTGTCCGCCACTTCTTCCCACTTCCAGCGCCCGGTTATGAGGACGCAGCCTACGTCTACTGTCCCATCGTGGAACAGCTGCACGAGATTCCGAAATATGCCCACCCGGCGGTTCCCACATCAATCGCTGATACACTGGCCCATCTTCACGGAGCCCCATCCATATGGGTCTCCGGTCATCTTCTGGCCTACCTCATGCGTCTTCGGACCGGGGAGATTTCTGCGTCTGTTGAAAGGCTCATTCGAAGCATAAGAGGCACACCCGACTCCACCCCTATCGTTGGGGTCCACATTAGACGCACAGATAAGGTAAAATTTTCCATCTTGCATCCCCTTTGCGCTTCTTTACAACTGTATTTCAGTCATTTTTATGGCTATTAGCGTTCATTTTTGAATTACACGTCTGCGACGTTACCATTTTTACGTCATACAATTTTCTGTGTCGGTCGGCTGTTTCAACCGTGAACTTCCTGATGTATGCAACGTTACTGTGCAGTTGTTAGCCTTTTATTTCCGGTGAATCTATGATTGGATTGCTGTCGGCGTGCTTTTTAGCATAGGGTTGGAGGTCCAGGAGTTTGTAAAATCTTTTGAATCTACATACTGATGTTTACACTGCCGGTTCACCCACCTCAAATTTGGTGTTTCTCAATGACCGCTTATTAGACATCCGCTTCAGTTTGCCTTATATTTGACTAAGGTTAACGGCCGAGTGCTAAGTTATATTTGAGCAAAGTAGCTTAAATTTTTGTTATTTTTTTCACGCTGCATGACCGCCTAGGCCCGTAATGCTCTAGTAATTCGTGACTGCTAGCCACATTTATAATCATTCCTTCTTAGTGCCCACCGACCCATGTATCAACACAACGCAATTGTTTAGTTTGACCAATTAGATCATTAATTCATTTGAACCATTGTGAAATAAAGTGCTTCAAAAGCGTAATTTACCTATCTTGTTTGTTCACCTTTAATGAAGCAAATTGTGTTATTTAGTGTAGTTGGGATGTGTAAATTTGGTAAGGAATGTAGTTTTTGTATTTTGGAATTACCATAGGCAGCCGGCAGATTGAACCCAGTGATTCACTATTTTTTTGAGATTCAAGGTTTTTATTTACATTAAATGTTTCCATTCTATTCAGTACCTAGTCTTGAAAATAAAAGCCCCGCCCTTAAGCTTTATTTTTTATTTTCCAAGCACTCAGAGTGCTTACTCTTCGTCACAGCGTCGCAATGTGTGGGTTTTTCTGGCCCCTCTGATCGTTTTGAGCACATAGAACCTATTGATATTCTTCGTACATTCATTTATCAAGCGTTCCCTTTCTAACTTTTGTGGTTCGTCGTCTCATACTTGTAAAGTGATCCAAAATCCATCTAAGGTTGTTATGTTCTTTATTAAAAGGTATGATTAACTCAAACCAATCTTCATGATGAAATCGTGGTCTATGTGAGGATGCTGTATTTGGTGAATTGTTTTCATTGCATACCGTGCACTAAAAAATCAGTCTCTTAAATGTCCTTTTTTTAATGCTTTTTCGTATGGCAATGGTATCCAGATGCTTTCAGGTTGTGCTTTTTATACAATACTGATCTTGTTGCAGCTGTTGGACTTTTTCCTTTGTCATCGTGTTTTGTTCTTTCTATCGTTGCTTCTACAATTGCGGATTCTTTCGTATTTTAATTTCTTGTGCTTAATGAGGTTTATTGTCAGGCACACCACTGAATGGGAAAACAGTCACGTTATGGTGCTTCTTATTCTTCAGATCAAAACGGAGGCGGCCTTTCATAAGCTGGAGGAGTACATGTACTATGCGGATCAATACTTTGATAAGCTCGATGCAGAGCGTCTGATGAGAGCCAGAACGGAGGTAACTCATCCTCACCATTTGCCACTAACATTACTTGCTGATTCATAACAGTTTATGTACGACCTCAACGATAGCATATGGAGGCTAATCCCTGTTGCTTAAAGGTCTTTTATCATGCATTATAATAGTGAATCATTAGTTCCACTTCTAAAAGTTTTTTCTTTCCGGAAGGAATGGTACGGCGATGACACCTCCCCGCTGCCCTCGCATATCACAAGACGTATCTTCATTGCAACTGACGACGCCGAGGTGTTTGCCGAAGCTCGACGTCTGTACTCCTCTGTGTTGTCTTCAAACGGCTCGCCCCGCTATGAATTTATAGGAGACGTTCAGCGCGCCCAATCCGCATCACTATCTACTCGATACACCCACAACTCTCTCCTTGCTGTCACTGCAGATGTTTTTGCACTCTCCTACACCGATTACATCGTCTGTACATTCTCCTCTCAGGTCAGGCACCCCTTGCTCTCACTGTGCGTCACCCCCCACCACTGTTTTGAAGTAACGCCCTGTGGAAGACGGATCTCCTTGCACGTGTGCGTTATCGCTCTTTGCAGATCTGTCGGCTCGCCTACGAGTTAATGCAGACACATCCCACCCGACTCGGCGATGCGTCGATGCGCGCTCAATCTCTGGATGATACCTACTACTATGGCGGCCAGCAGCCTTGGAGCCAGGTAATCATTGTCGACGACATAGAAACTGGCATGGAGGCCGGCGACACGCTGGCTTACCTGGGGAATCACTGGAACGGCTATGCCAAGGTAAATCTCCCAAAAAACAAGGGAGAAGCCATACGACCCGCCTACAAGTTTGAAAGTCGTTTAATGGAAATAGACTTCCCTGGATTTAATGCCTCATTCCCTTAAAGACATGCACCCAACTACGGTGTCTGTCTGTGATTACACCTGTTATACTTTCCATTAATGTGCAATTATCAACACGATACCTATTTCGTGCCTGAGACCATATTTGAGAGAAGCATTTACGGGGCAATCGCATCAGACGGTTTACCACAATGCACTTGCTATCATTCCACTCAAATAGGGAATCACAAAATAACGTGTCAGCGCAACTACCTCTCAACGAATTGATGCAGATTGTTAATACCGTAGACAGTGTCCGGCACTCAGGTTGTTTTTCAGTGTTCATACGACCTGGCAAGAACAAGGGCAACATTAGCTATGCAGTTGTCAGGGTATTTACAAAATACCCGCAGGGAAACCACTCGGTAAGTAAAATGGCACTGCTACCGAAACAGTAAACTTCGCATGGTCAGTTATGACAAAGTCAGTAATAAAGCGGGGGGAATTGCAGAACCGATACGAGTTTACAAATCAGTCTCCAGGCGCTATACGATTGTCTCTTCGCTCCTGATATATTCCCCGATGTCGGCTTGATGGAAACCTATAATTGTCATGGGGTCAGTATTCTTCATTTGGAGGGTAGACTTCGCGGCGACACCAAAACCCAGAGGGGTATCATTAGCATTCATCACGATGACGCCGGCGTACTGGGGCGTGTCTTCTGATACGCGAGCCAAGCCAGACTTGACAATATGCTGGCCATAAAGAAAGTGTTGCTCAGCGGATGGCTTTAACCAAATCCGATACTTTGCGTAAGGCGTCAAGTAAGGCAAAGCGGTTATGTGAAGGCGGAATTGGCTATTCTTCGTGAATTTTCCAAAGCAGGTTCCGAAGCTCAGAAGGTTCTTCCGCGTGATATTTTCAGCCCGTCTAGCCAGATCATCTCTAGCAAAATGAAAAAAATAAAAAAATGACGGGGAAAACCTGCAGTAGAAAACTCGACCCCGATGATAGTAAAAACCGTATTTTTCGTTTCCACGTTCAAGGAGTGGCTTGATATCTTGGATGCTTTCTTTGTTAGCAGATAATCTAGTACTCACTATTTGGACAGCTTGTCAGCTAGCGATCTGTACTCAGCCTCCCTCAACTGCCGCATCCTGGGGAAAATCACGCAGACCTGTCAAACCACGCGCCTTATTGTATCGTTAAAATCACCATGAACTACTTAATCAAAAACGTACTTAGTAGCACATTCACATGCAATTTTTTGCATTAAAGACCTACAATACATATTAAAACTTAGACTTTTACTAAAAAACCTAGAATTAAGTCGAATTTTACAAAGAGGTGGATTGCTTATCTAATCTAAACAGCAAAATTCTTTAAGCTGCAAAACTTTTAGGTCAAATTTGTATGCAATGCAGTGTAATAGATAAAGCTAGAAATTACAAGAACATGCTTCTTTGATAACAAATCTAGTGCAGCCATATTCTACTTAAATTATATGCAACAATAATATAAGTAGTCCTCTTTGGCGAGTACTCCATATTTTACAGATACTAAATAGCAATTCGGGTTAATGCGACGTTTCTACCACATACGCAATTGGTCTATTCCTCGTGTGCAATTTAACTAGTACAGGCCATTATGGCGGCACCATTGGCGAGGCACGCACCCCGCCTTTTCACCAAAAGTACGCTGTTTTCGATGTATGTTATGTGCTCTTAGTTGTGCGTTTTGATGCTGTGACTGTTGCCAAGTCTCATGTTCAGCCGATTCGATTCCCCAAAGTGACCTATAATGACATGACGAAACCGGAAGGACCATGGCAAGAGAAGTATGACGCCCTAAATGCCGAGTACTCAAGGTATATGTACATCGGTATATGCTCGTTTATGGTCTCACTTGGTATCGTAAGTGTGTATCTCTGTACCCATACAATCGACCAAATTTAGACTTTATACGCGCTGGACCCTTTCAAGTATATGGAACCGGCCCACAGAAATACACCAGACGGCCTGGCATTTCTGAACCCGAAACCAGAGGTTTTGGCTGATATTCAGGAGTGACCTAGAGGGCCAATGTGCTCCATAGCCCATCACCTTCCCCTCCCGATACCAAAGCCCAACCGTCCTTTAGCATCAATAAATCACTCCATGGCCAACTTCAAAGTAGATTCTTGATCCCATAGTTCTGACTCGTTTTCACGGCCATAGAGACAATCCTAACATGGCCAGCCCTTCGCCATTGGGACCTCCCTCCAGTGCTTGGATTTGATTTAGTTGAAAGTAGCCTTGGGATTCGTGCGCCCCCTCGCTGGCGTTTTACCATCGACCGCAGTCCTAAGTGCTACTCAAAATTCGAGTCCTGGAAGTTACGCAACCCCATCCATTGTATGAATGCCGACAAACAAGTAGTTCCACCTTGGCGTGTATCTACGATCTCCAAAAAGTGCGAATCGCTGCAGCTAGCGTGCGTGACAGGAGCCGCGGGGTCTGTTGGCTACGTAACGGACTCAGGGCTTTGGGAGGCCCACCTGTCGAACTAGGAGTAGCCCACGAAACGCCCTACTCAAGACGCGTTCTTGCTGCTGCTCACTACCTAACGATGTGAACACCTCAGTTAATGGTAGTGTATTCCATGAAGACTGGGGACCCAAAGTCGCTTAATCTTAGTAGGGTCACGGTGACAATAGTATCGTGGGACAGAGCGGTCGCTTACATGCGTCTTTGCAGAAAATAAGAGGTAGTGTTTTGATAGTAGCCAGAGGCGCTGAGGACCCCATAAAGAAAATGATTGAAGACAGCGCACCAGTTGTATTCTTGAAGGAAAATAATTACAAAGTCAGCAGCTTCTCGTGTACACAAACAGTGCATCAAAACCGATACGAACTAGAGCGGAAATGAGATGAGTGGTGATACTTACGGCATCTTTATCTTCATGAACGCACGTACCGAGATGAAAGACACGAAAATGCACGCAACACCCAGCGAGAGCACTACTGCGCGTGCCAATCTGGTCATCTTGGATTCATTGATTATATCAAGCAAGATAAATCCTATTGCACCGAGCGTGAACATAAAGCTACATAGAAGGCCCTCCATTATATATTGGCTATTTATTCGCCATTGCATAAAAGCAACCTGAAGCTGCAGTCAAACATCAAAATTTACCGGCCTCTGATTCCCTCTGGCGTCGGTCTCCGTTCCAACACTGGGTGGCCCATTTATAACATCAAATATGATACCTACGAAAAGTAGAACGGTCGACGCTTTACCTCCGGTAACAAGAAAGTAAGTCGACAGAACAAAAGCAAAAACCGTCATCCTAGAAGGCAGTTGCAACCATGATGGCCTCTTGATGCGTAACCTGGGGCACTCCAAGAAGGTAAAAATGGAACAGAACACCCAATCCATCCTCACAATGATTAGCCGTAAAGGGCGCCGAAAAGGCTATGTTGCTAAAACAAACAAAAATATCCAAAACAAAAAATGTGCAAAAGCTGAAACCAGTTTGCTAACGTGTGAAAACCGTCAACTTAATGACCACTAAATGCGTAGCTACACACAAGGCACCCTTTCAAGGTTAGATTATTAATTCCTTAAAATACTAAAAAAAAGTTATTTTACAAACTTGTTGTCTTTGAACGCAATTGAATTTTCGACAGCAACGGCGTTATTTAATCACTCTTCCATGTGCTTGTCCGAAGATTTAAATAGGTATTACATTATTTATATTTCTTTGTGCAAAGCGACTAGTTTTTGGGATGCATTTGTTTGACTGGGTTTAAATGGACCATCTGAATTTACATGCTTAGCGTGCGTCTGTTACGAACATCTCACTGGGAAGAGGTCGATACCCTTGTGGGGCTAGATATAGTTACCAAAGTTCACAATGGGTTTTTCTTCCTGTTGGAAAAGCAGGGTTCAGCAGGATTTGTCGAAGCTATTGGCTGAGATTTTATCACTAAAGCAAGTTTTTCTTCATAAGCATGATAAGGTTGATGAATTTGTTTATTCGGTAAGTGTCTGCATTCGGATTGATGCATTCCCCCTAATGGTTTGAGCTCTTTTGAGCGAGTACTTCTTTATCGATTTTACTTGGTATTCTTGGAACTGCCTTTTAGAAACCCATGTCGTTTTTTAGCTGCTATCACGATTTTCCTACAGTCTAAAGTCATTTACACTGAGTTTTCTCTAACTTGGTAGCGTTTCCATCACAAGCTTCTGGCACTAGAAGCTAGGAAACGCAGCATTAACAAGTTGATAACGAGTGTGCTTTCTCGAGGCGCCAAGATCCCAAATTGTAAAAGTCGTCGTCCTGAAAGTCTGAAATCTATCTTTCGACAACTAAATATTGTCGAATCGGAGTTCCACATAACGTCTATGCTAATGTATCCAAAGAATCCTTTGAATCACGTTGGCGATGTGATTGAAGGTATGTTTTGTTCCTTGGTGACAAATATTTTTCTGAATTCTTTGCCATTCATGTAGCTATGTCCATCTGCCGATTTATCTGGCTTAGGTGAATGTTTAGATTCCTGTTTTCTTTTAATCTGGACTGCCGCTGCTTTATGGGCACCGTTGAGTATAAAGTGTATCTACCCAGATCTCGCGTTTGAAAATGTACAATGATTCGTCTTGTATAGCTTCTAAGTCCCATTATTTGTAGCTATGACTACCGATTTACTTATTTTTTAACTCATCCGTCCAATTTCGGCATAAAATGGGTGAACAAACACCAAATGCCTCGTTTTACGCGATGTGGTCCCAGGTGCAAAATTTGCTCGATACTTTCAAATTAATGAATTCCTGGATCGCCTTAATCTGACTTACGGGAATGTCGATCTGCCGAAACTGACTAGTAATTTGTCTGGTCCTTGAAAGAATGCCGTATGAAATTGAAAACAAGACATAAAAGTGTAACCATTGTATTCGAGTGTTAAACAATTCTTTTAACCCAACCCTACATCCGGTTCTAGGTTGCTTCGTTTTAAATTTCTTGTGGAATAAATTAAATGGCTTAAACATAAATTACTTTTGTCGCTATCTGGACTTCCATTGTTGGACCTTTTTTTATAGGCATTTCCTCGGCGCTTTGGATATGACTTGATAGCCAGTTAAATGGTATCCCGTTAGTTTTGGTGTAGCTTAGCTGCTTATCTTTGTTTGCACCGTATTCTACATATGCGTGCAATTGCGTTCTTTTTTGATGGTAGCTGTTTCAACGTCTTCAATAACCAATGCATAGGGAGCCAGTTCTGCTGCACCTGTGACTGGCGTCCTTCGATGAATGCAATTTATCCGATTTGCTCAGTTTTGACCAGCAATTCGTCAAATATTAAGCGTGTTTTTGTTCGTTAAGGATGTGCTCTTGTATGATTAATGTCGGCTGACTCCAGAAGTAGTGGCGCTCGAATTCATAGTGCCACTTGTACCGTTCGCTAGTCGTCCTGTATTTTACAATTACTCATGTTTTGAATCCCTGAATGAATGAAGAGTATGAATACCGATTGCGTAGAACTCAACTCTTGGATGGCTATTTTTCTAAAGTTTTATTGTGACAGTTGGCTAGTCTCAAAACTAACTCATGCGTGTACTGTTAAAGTTATGGCAAAAGTGCGAGTCATTGTCTTAAAATGCTCTGTACCGATATATATTCCCGTTCTCTTCCCCACTTCACTGGTGGCACCCAATTGCAATACATTGTCTTGGTGGAAGTCTTAAAAATCGTCTCACTTCGGGCACCGCACCAGATCCATATCGACTAAAATAACCACCTGAGACGATTCAGGTGTTGGATAGGAACTGCCAGTCGATGCCAACACATTTTAGCTCATCCGACTTGAAAACAATGATCTATTTGGATTTAAGTTACATTTTGATGCTATCTATCTAAGTTAATGAGGAAGTATATCTACACATGAATGGTAGCATGAGTCAAACACGATTAGCTTCTGTTTTCGGGATAAGCGAGGAAAGTGGGTTGCGTAACAATGTAAGTTCATTTCTCTCACCAAAAGAAAAAACATGCTCGTCTCTTCCTTAGCATTACCAGATTTGTGCGACGACGGCTGATCCTTGATCCTTAAAAATGATGGCTCCCCAAAGCATTTCCTATATTTATTTACTGGGTTGTTCTAGAACCACTTCAAAAGCTTATATCGTCCTAGTAATTCTCCTATATTACACTTGGAGATGTTAACTCTAAAATTTTATGTATCTATCGATAGTCTTTTTCGATTGCTCTCTGGTAAAACTAGGTTCCTGACTCCATGAGTTCATTCCTCCTTACCATTAGAACAGGCGATCACATCTAACCATTGCGATATAGAGGAACCTGCTATTTTTCGTTTACGGAATATCAGTCCAGCTAGGGTGTGAATACATTGGGGCCTAGTCATCTGTCGCAAATTTGTGGTACTAATATTGAACATGTTTGTCAGACGCGTGCTCTCTTCTCAAGGCCGAAGCAATTTATCCAAGCATCAGAAACTCAGGTAACTGTCATGTGTCTGCGTACGCACTTGAGGCAGATTAGTGGGTCAATAAAGGGACCTCTCAACTGCGCGATGGGACAAAAAGTGCTGTGGCATGATTTGCTTTTCTGATATAATTGCCATGTCGTTACTTTGCTATGGTTCCCAAAAATCCTAAATCTTACTACAATTTACATTAGTGCGGGTTTGAAATTTCCGATGCGTTGTTAAATGACTTGATTTTCAGAATGCTTCCTTTGTGCACTAGAATAATGGTAAAAGAAGTAGTCGCCATGTAGGATCATAACATTGTTTAACTTTGATAAGAACTCGGTCCAGCTTTAAAAGTGTTTTGGTCTTTGTTATGAATGATTAATGATATGCGAGATCGCGAACGAAATGTTCGCTTTTAGCATTATTACTCTCAAGGGTCAGGCCTCACTGATACATGGCGCAGTTGCTCAGTTCCTGTATCACGATTCACCTTTATGCATTTGCTTGCCCACTAAGCGATGAAATTGAGTAACGCTGCGCACTGGTTGCAAAACCAGTGGCATTATGCTAATCTTCTTTGATTCATAAATGTCGGTATTGATCAGTGCCCAATGAGGAGTATTGTTGTTATCCCAACGTTGGAGGTTATTGGCTCGTCATGCAAAATTGGGAGTGAAGTAGCTACCGCGATTGATTTAGCTGTCAGTCTAGTGTATCGCTTAATAGCCTTTTATTTAGTAGTTTAGCTTGATGTCTCAAGTGGATAGTACTAAATTTCCAAATGTATATACCGTGTAAGGTAGTTCTAGATTGAAGTTTTTTTGTCTTAATAGGCCACTTAGAAGAATGGGTTTTTGAGAGCCTTTGCCGTTATGGCGGCACCAGTAATAACTGAACATAACTATATTATACATTTTTTTGGTGCTAGCCCGAAAGTATTGAAGGAAACAAGAACGTGCAAAGTGGAAGGCGCTGTATCTGGAATTTTCGTCTCCATATTTCTTTATTTTCATTTTTACATCCGAATCTTCACGCTCTGTACAAACCCTGTTTGGATTTTTAGTAGTCTTTTTTAAACAGCATGGTTGGTGCGTTCTACGTGACAAGAGAGTCATATTTGTTACAATATGGCTATAGGCTAGCCAGGCGCTCTGAGTGATTCACTGGTAAGCGTTAGCTCAAGCTCCTTGATTGAAGGAAATGTGACCGTCTGGTCCCGAAGGTAACTACGTAACTGCGGATAGAGATTAGTGGGACCATTTTAGTGGCACATATCAGCTTGTTTGTTTTACCGCGTAGTCTTGTCATATTGTATATGGTTGAGTAGAATTTGACTATAAGCGTCAGCAAAAGTAACATGAACGGAATATAATACCGCTAAAATGGTAGCCGAAGTCTACAAAGACCCAAAAGCCCAGTTAGAACAGATGTTTTGCCACATCAATGGAGTATTTACAGTGTTGAATTGATTTGTTTTTCCCCCATTTTCCCGCTAGCATTGAATCAGCTTTAACTTGAATGCCATCGACGGTTCACTTGAAATGGAGTAGAACACAATAGCTTGTGTATTAGGTGTTTAATGGAAGTTTGACTGGTGTGTGACATATTACCGAGGTAGGAAAGATGCTATTTATGTTTGCACGTTCTAATATACGTATTCTCAGGGAGATCAATCTCATGCATTGGTTGCCTTCAAAACTGAACAAATAACGGCTTTCTGCTTCTGTGCGGTACTCGATAACTCCAAGTCACGCGAAACTTTTTTTAAAATTGTGAACTTGCGCTAAGATTGTCACTTTTACTCGTTCACTTTCACCCCTATTTCATAAGGGTTTCGCAAGGCTTCTGATTCATCCATGGCACGAATTTTCTTGCATCCAACTGAGGAATTGACCCGTGGGTTTCGGTTCAAACAAGCTATGCCTTCGTAAATGCTTGGCTTCTGATATTGAAGGCATGAAAATATCAGTTGCTTTTTGTTTGAATCGGAAGCATGTGATGGTGCGATTGTGCCGTTAACCTTGTGGTTTTGCCGAAAACGATCCCAGTGAAAACTCACATTTTTGTGTACATCCCTAATATTTCACCATTATCGAGCAACAGCCGTGGCGTTCTGCATTGTTTCACACCGGAGTTTCGACCTGCAGGATGTCTTGTAGTGAATACTTTTTGATTTGCAAATGACCTGTGTGGGTTTCAGTTAGTTACACACTTGCGCCATCGAAAACATTTCCCTTTTACGTCTTGCACTTGTGTCGGTAGATTTAATTTATTTGCTAATTGTAATCAGCATCAAACCTTGTGGGTGCACAGGACACTTGACACGCATATGTGAATAGACGGCGCTGCGGCCGTTACTTTGTGCGCATGTCGTCTATATCGCACCCAATGCAACAGGACCACCTCGTCCGATGTGGCGTGCGCATTGGTGACTCATGTGGTATCCGCTTGGTGCCGACTTTGGGAGGGACGTACGCGCATCCAGAAACGTTGGAAAGAGCTTTTTCTTCGCTCAACCCATTTTACTATTATTTTTAATCTAATCCCAGCGCTTTGCGTTGGGTCACTGCAGGGACTACAGTAACTTCTCTTCATATAGGCGATTTACTGAATACCATGGTTTAGTTACTCACGTATTTGTGCGTGCTAACAAAGTCTCGTAGAGAAAAGTGGGTCAGTGCCTTACATGGCTACTTACATATTAGAGTAAATAAGTTATCAACTTGATCACTAAAATCTAATCATACGTTTTAGTATTTTTTTGTTGCAGCAATTGAACACGATTTGGAGCTGAATTTCTGTTTGCTGCGTCAGATTTGTTGCAGTAAGTGCATGCCTTTCCAAATCCAAAATTCTAAGTATTCTTCCTTCTTCAATTCAAAACCTCTACCTATTTCGTACACTCAAAAGTCGATGATGCTTTGCGTTTAACACAAAGTTTGGTATGAATACTTGTTTGACCGGAGGCTTGGTAGTTAGAAGTGTCCTTCTATTCCGTTGGTAAAGATCTCCATCATTCACGCTTCCCATCAATCAAACTTAATTGGCCCATCTTGTTTTGTTATATGTAGCTTACTCACATTTTGGTTTAACTTAGGTGTAGATCGGTTTATCAAATTCTATAGGCAGTCAAACCTCATTTTCATATAATTCTCTTGAATAGGGGAATATTCCCTTGCATAACTCTGCGCTTTCATTTTAATTCAGATCTTCCTCATCACCAAAATTGGAGGCAATTTCTCACATGCCTTACCAATCGTGATCGTGATGCAGCATTTAAATATTACAAGGTAACCTGTAATGCTTTCTTGTTAACATTTTTAAAACAAAATGAATTTTTATTTCATAACACAGACTCGAACATTAATCTTTGTATCTTACTTTAAACTGATGCCATTTTTCAGTTTCTTGCATCGTGACGGGACATTCGTGTGATAATCTATTGAATACTAGGCAAAACTATATGATATGTTCCACCGCTTTAAGTACTTGTCAACGATTTCTACACTAGTTCATCCATTACTTGTAATTTTTGAAATTTACGGTTTCGACGGGTTAACCTTGTATTGCTTTTTCATCAGGTACCCCATTAGTTATAAATGATACAATTATTGTTTACGTAGTTTATGTGATTGGTGCGAATGAGCATGAAAATACTTTTTGTTAACATTTCAGCTTGCTCTTAAAGAAGTTAGGCTGCGTGGCAGATGCATTTCATCTGTTCATCGTCTCCTTAATCTTTTGAGTGGAGAAAAGGTGGCAGGTCAGCACTTTTCGACAGCAATTCAGCATCTCGTCGTCTCAAATACTTCATGCGAGGCACTTTGTTACGATTTGTGGCTGCGACTTATCAAAATGATAATTTTTCTTGAAAAGTACATTCCCTTGAAAACAGTCGACAAATCGACCGTTTTTGCCTTGGACCACCTGCGAAGCTGGCAGAAAGAGCTTTCTAATGGCAGTTGCGAAATCTGGAAGGCGGGCGATAAAAGTAAATTGTTATGCAGGCGCCGCAGACCCGACCTCTGGTACTCGTGTCTTAATGATCGGCTTCTATCCCAAATGGATAGAAAATTTCAAAAGGTATATCTGTTTCAGCGTAAGGCAAAATTAGTTGTTTTGTCTCTAATCTGATGGATTGTAAAAAATTGTTAGATTCACTTATTTTTAACCGGTTTATCCTTTATTTTTTGTTACGCATTCCATTTAGGATGGGAAGCTTAACAAATTTCAATTGGAAGAGTCAGGTCGAAACGTTTGCGTTGTAAACGGTCACGAACCGCTTAAATCAATGGACAAACAGGGCATAAATTTAGCGCACGGAGGTACGTTTTTCTTCGGTTAAAGTGTTTCCACTTTGTAAGTTCAAGTGCTGTCTTTACGGTAACGAACTGCATGCTAATAGCATAATTTGCAGGGGTAAGTTTTATATTAGTTCTAAGTATTTCTTACTTTTTGTACCCGGTTTCCACAACAGCCCAAATTTTCCAGCATCAACTGGATCAATACGTACCCAAGTACTTAGCTATATTTACTGGATAGGTTGCATCTTAGCCTCTGTCACAAAACTGTGGTCGAATGGACACTTTCAGAGACTTATTTCCTTGTTGAATCCGGTTTCATCTTGAAACAGATTCGCTTAGAACGAGTTTTGCGATCTATTCAAAAACCTGTTCGCTCCCCTAACATGAGGAATTTACTTGAAAAAATTGTAAAACTAATGGGGGAAAATCTAGAAAACTATCACCATGAGGTCTGAACAAATCCATGCCACTAATAATGTAACGAATGGTTTAACCGGTAGCGGTGATCTTAAGGTCTGTCCGATCCCGACATGACCTATAGTAAATGATTCCACCCACAACGTCGACGTTCATGCTAACGAAGTCTTCTGTACATGTCGTGGTGACAGAAGGACTAGAGGTGATACCAGTCAGCTTCCATTAATCTGCGATTCAGTTCTAAGTGGAACATGGGCATCACGTAATTGCCAAGCGCTGTGAGAATATGGAAGTTTATGCATTGGGTTATGCACCAGGAAAAGCCAATGAAATTTTGATGGCTAGATGTCTAAGTTCCTTTATTAGTAGAAGTCTAAAGTCTCGGTAGTAAAGAAGTATTTTACATTTATAAGGTCATTCTAGCGGCAGCTTCCTCCACCGTTTTGAATAAATGGTTAAAAGTGCGCAGTTTCCGCCAGTTCAAGCGCATTTTTAAGCCACGGCTGACGAATGAGTCGGTTTCATTTGCGTACAATGGCTGTTGACTCATTAGGCATGTTAATTTGTGGTTTTAACAGGTGTCGGCCTTTTTGTTCCTTGGGTATCAAATCGTCTTAATAATTTGACTTTTACATTAAATTACATGCTTTTCTCTGCTTTCTACTTTGAACCCTTTCATCTTGGTTTCTAATGCTGGAACAGTTTATTTTTGTGCCGGTATTTTGTCCATAAAGCATGATACACAAACTTGATTTTAGTTAAATGAGATTATATTGAGACCGCTCCGATAGAATTTTCTTGTTGTCGAAAGAGGCTACACTGGAGGTTCTTTGAACTTCATCATTCAATTCAATTACAGTCATTACCTGGAAATAATTTAAAATAGCTAAAATTAGTAGCATTTCACAACTTAAACAGGCAAACTTGCGCGACACCTGTTTATCTTTGCTCGTTGTTGCCAAAAATATTTCTTGAATTGGAAAAGTTTTAGTATTCGATAATGTTTCAGCTGTCTTTTCTTATGCCCCTATAAGGTCAGACTCCAAACGAGCCCATTCACACCTTCATTCTAATTGGCCTACTGCGTAATGTCTCAGGACTCCTACCAATTAAAATGCATGGTGTGACGTTTATGTAATGCTGTGCTCAAGGTTTCCATTTCTGCCGCATAAACACAAGTGTCAAGTTCATTCTGTGTGTTTCTTTTATTCAGCTGACACTGTCGATGCACTTGAGCCCAATATGGCGAATGAATTGAAAGCAAAAGGTCAAGTGCAGCCCAACAGTGACATCCAGAATTTTTTGATACCGAATGAAACAGAGGGAAGTATTAACAGTGTTGGCCGAAGTACGACTGTTCGAAAGTGAGTTTAAGTAAACTTTGTTTTCATAGCCATTGATACGGAAATATATTTCTAATGCTATGGGCATTTGCCGCAGATGAAAAGTAGATTGCTTTTAAGGTGTCTAACAGTTTCGTCGGTCTATGAGTTTACATTTCTTTGATGGATTTTGTGACTTGATATTAGTAATTTTTTTATGTCTACTGCATTTAGATAGTTGAATTAATGATAGCATACGCCCAGGATTGTCTTTATATAAAAAGCTGTTGCATAGTTTTCCAAATTAAGCATCACAAATCGCTACTAACATCACATTTTTAGGATCATTCAAGCGTCTTTCAACATTGATCTTATCCCCTTGAATCATGGCAACTTTTTTGTGAGTAGGGCCTGTGACACCCGTGTTCTCAAGGCTTGTGATCTATTTCAATCGAAATTGCCTGGTCCTCCCAACATACCACTGAGGGCTCGTAGTGGTGACCTTAGCAACTCGCCTAGAGCAGGTAAGAGTCCGCACTCGACACAGATTGAAAACGTTGGTTTTTTCTATTAACCTAAGATGCATAGCTTTGCACTCACAAAAGCCCACAGATTGTAGTACAAAGCCTTGCTTTAAGTCTTCTCATCGAGCTCAAACAAAGCGAGTTCGGTTAGTAGTTCTGTTTTTGAAGTTTTGACACATTAGTGGAAGTTTGTTGGACCTATTCTTTGACTAGTCAGCGCATAAAACTTCTTAAAAGCTTACCATCATTATCCCTTTTTCTTTAGTTTGGCGTTTTGGTGGCTAGTAATTCTACGGATAATTGAGTCACACACTTACGCACATTCTTAATGGCCCCGTTCATCATAAACGCGCAAACACTAATTTGTCAAACACTTGGTCGAATCTAGTTAATGTGGTCTAAAACTTCGTGTCTTGACTACACTAATTAAATATTATTTTTGAAGAATCACGCGAGGTTTTTCGAAGTCCTCCATCTATTTTGCACTCGGAAACACGGAAGGTGATCGCTCAAATGTCAACAGGCTCAGACATCATCAGAACTTCCTCCCCAGAGCTAATTCTTCGTGAAACAATTATTGAGGATAGTACATCGCGGCGCATGGATTCTTACCTGGCGGCAGTCGAGGCCGCTGAGATGTTTGTAGCGCAGCAGCATAGCAATTCAAACGTCGAAATATCAAAGAACAAAGTGCGGAAGAGTTGCTCGGATGATCATTTGCTCAAAGCGGCACTGGCTCGTACTCGGTCACTGGATGATCTAAACGGACCTCAGACAGATAGGATAATTAGCCTAAGCCATTCTTTGGAAGATACGATAGCCTATCCTCTTGACTTATCTGAATACGTAATAAGTGCTTGGGACAATTACCAGGTAATAGTTGATCATGAATTTGCCTCCTTGCCTAGTTTTGCTTGAGTATGTGGGTATGGCATTTTACTACGTCTAATGGAATGTATTTTCATAGGCCCCGTTGCTTAGACAATTAGCTGTAACCATATTCACCATTCAAGTTTTCCATTTTTGAAAGAGCTTGCGTTTTACTCTCCCTCTTCAGGTTCCCTGTTATTCCAGCGTAGAGGATATCGGTCTAGTTGAACCAAAAGCCAGATTTTCAGAAAACTTTTTTTGGGAAGATTTGTTTCCCGATGAAACAGAGGCTCTCGATTTCGAGCGGCATTTCCACCAGCCTCAGGGAACAACGCGTCAGATTGACGAGTGGAGTTTCGAGGGCCTCTCGGGTACTCCGCTTTCAAGCCAAGCATTTGACGACGCCGTACATAGCAACGACGATGGAAGTCGGAGTTCTGAAGCCCTTCTAGAGCCTGTTGACAGAGATCCCTTTTCGGATGATGACCAGGAGACTCCACTTCGATGCTCTAGGAGGCAAGACAAGTGTTTACAGACTGAGATGGATGACTCGGTCAATAATATCTTTACACCGTTCACCTTTTTAAACATCTCTCAGGGCGCACCACCATACGATGTAAACACTGTAAGCCATTTATTGATGGGTGCTATATGTTTGTTCCTCATTCATTGTCATCTCTTTGAGTCTGATGGTATTAGAAACACGTAGCACTGGCTTTATTTAAGCGTGCATCTTAGGGCCTAATGAATCCTCATGCTATTGTTTATTTCTCCGTTAGTTGTACCGGATTGGGAATGGATTTCGCTGTCGCTTACAGGCCGCCGATCTCCTTCTTTATGGAAATCGGCCCGCGAATGTGGAAATATTGCCTGCTATAGCCAGTGAATTTCGGTGATAAATGCATTACATGCATCGTCCTTGGCTGTGCTTATCGAAAGTGCTAACCATGGGCAGTCCATACAGTTTTGTGTTCACTTTATAATGCTCTTAGGTATTCCCAAGTGCTTGCGTGGTTGCTCATGGGTTTAATTTGCTCTGCGTTTTCGTTACCATTTTAAGTAAAGTAACGTATCTGATCTCTGTAAATGGTTGGGGGATGCGAAATGGTACTGGAAGGAAATCAAGATTAGTTTTTTTTGTTGTGTTTTAGTTTGTGCATGCCTTTTTTCAGACTCACACCTCTGGTTATGAATCTGGAACAGATGTGGTTACTTCCTTGCTTCAAAGAGCTTCCTTCTCTTCTCTCGATGCTTCAAACAAAGTTGACCAACCGGATTCATCCACTTTGCTACCAACCCGGAACTTTGGAGTACAAACTGTGCGAAATAACCGCTACAAAACATCTGATACCATTACAGAAGAGCCTTCTGGGAATTACTTTACAGATCATCGGGTCGATTCGGATGTTATTACTAAATCAGAACAAGCTTTGGTCAAATTGCATGAATTCCTTCGCGAAATTCTCGTCAGTAGTGACACCGGTATCGATGGCTCACCTGCAAGCACGCTAGGTAATTCACAGTTGCTTATTTTATATAGGTAGCAGTGAATGCATTGAAAATCACCCAATTTTTCAATCTTCGCAGTGAGTAGGAAACAGAAACAAAATACTTGCTCGAGTGCTTGTACCGGGCCAAAATCTACATTTCACCTAATGAAGAGTTTCATTTGTATGCTCGAATTGGCTGAACAGAACACGAAACTCCTCCGGAGATCAGGTAGCTTTCACATCAAAGCTGACGTATCCGCGCTCTCCTACTGCAGTCAGATTTCTTTTCCTCTAATTTCAGGTGCTTTGAATTCACAGTCCTGTGAAGCACTATCCAACCAATGGAACATATATGCAAAGTGGATGTACGATCGCGTACGCGAACTGCAAGGCCTTAATAATTACCAGGAACAAATTTATGTGCTTTCCGCAAAAGTAAATATGCTAAACCAGATTGCTGGCACACTCATGAAGCAAAACGGCTTGCTTATGAAAAACTACAGTCCACCAAGTTCTCAGGTAAGATTTCTGGCTATTCAATGCTTGACCATAGGCTTGCCAGCATAATGAGGTACGGCTTGTGCACAGCGCCATTCACCCCTTATTTCAGTTTAGGATAAATAAGATTTGAGTGAATTTGTGGTTTTTTTGCTATAGACTGTAGAGACTCATGCTTATGGTCTATGCTGACCAATTAAGCAGTTACAGATGGGTAGGTGGAAACCTAGCCTCACGGCTAGTTAGTGGTACTTCCTATTCTGCGATGGGAGGAAGTTGTGTTTTGAATCATGCATACCTTTTTATCTACTATCGCTTTTGCTAATCTGTTTCATTTTATTATAGTATGAGGAAGAAAATTTTTCAAAAAAAACGAATCCCTCTCTCTCTTTTTACCTGCTTAAGTCAACATAATGCTATAGGCATTGTGAAAATCAGATTTGTTTAACATAGATTCAGTACAATTTTAAACAACAAGAAATCCGGAACTTTTAGTAAAATATGGTATTTTCATCTGCTTTTGTCAATAAGTCAGCCTAGATACCTCTTCAGTAATACTTTTATGGCCACAAACTATAATTTGCGCACTCACCTTGTTTGCGCTTGCTTTCCAGGCATTTCATATAGACATCATTTCTTTTTCTCCCAAAAGACACTAATCCGTGAGTCCTGTGCCGTAGCAGAAGGGTCTGAAAACCTTCGAGAGGCCCTTTTGAAGCAGAAGTTGCAGATTATGAATAGCACTCATCCAATGGCACAGAATGTGCCAGAACTGTCAGATTTGGAGGCTCTGTTTGCTAACTGTCTCAGCAAAATTCTGGATCGAACCATGCACGACACCCGCTTTCTTGCTGAACAAGCGAACGAAATTAGATCCACGTAAGTACACACGTATAAATGACTTCCAAAGCCGTTTCTAGTTTTATAAACTTAATCTTTCCCTTCCCCCTAATCAAACTGTAAATCAGCCTACTAAGGCATCATCACATCTAATTCCACTGCTGCTTGCTCCTGATTTTTGAAATTTGTACCCAAAGGGATTAACCCACATTCTCTTTAGAAAGTGGACCTGCAAATTATTTGTTTTAAAACATCCCGGATGTTTTATGTATCGGACGATATAATTTTAAGTTCATATTGCTTATAATTAAACAATAAATCCCTCCCGCATCAATACACTTAATATATATTTACCTAAGGGAACTGAAATGGGGACTTTCATTCCTACGCAGCGTCTTTAGAAAATTGTCTAAGAAATGTGCATGCTTTTAAGCAGTAGTTAAGCCTGGTGATTTGCAAGATTTTGATAATTATAGCTATTCTAATTTTTTTAATACTATGAAGTGAACAAAGTTGGGGACTGTGGCTAATTTGGGGCACATTTTCGACGCCATTACGATTAATGGCCTGGAATAAGTCAGGTTAATTTGACATAAATGTGAAACTGTGCTTCGAACACATAGACACAAACCATATTCATACTGTTCTGTTTCTAATGTTATCTTTAATGAATTTGATGCTTTGGTTAAAAATAAAGCAAATTTGTATGTAAATTATGCTTTGTTTCATTCATATCACATATGTTTTTGATTTCATATGTATTCGGAATCTTGCTTTATTATAAGCGCAAACGTCATAGCAGTTTACATATCCCTTTCAACTGTGTTCAAATGCATTATAGGCCTTTTAAGGCAGATTTGTCATTGAATTTTGCACACTTTCTCTTATAAAATGTTTTAAAAGACGTTGCAGTGTATGTCAACGTATTGTTTAAAATATTGTCCAAGCAAATGCTCCTTCGGGAGCCATGACCGGAGACTGCGTTTCTCGCCCCCTCCTTCTAGCCTTTACTTTCACTGAGAGCTTCTAATTTTCACTCCTTATTTTTGTTTCCAACTGTTTGAAAAAGTATAAGCTGAGAGCAAAGAGTTTTATCATCCTCCTTCCTTTACAGCTAACACGTTAAGATGGATGCTGCCTTTTTGCGATGTAACAGAAACAGTTGTTGGAAAGAGATATTATCCAAGGAATAAATATATTGAAGATAGGGTTAAACTAGAATTTTCTTCAATATTTTGTTATCGAAGGTACATACGTTTACAAAACGGTCGTTGCTAAATACTGTTTACGTCTTAAAAATCCAGAAACCCGTTGCACCGTCTTCCGCCTAGTATATATGATGAACAAGCGACTATACTTATAATGAATACACGGCCGCTTTACATCATTGGAATATAATATTTATGACCAAACTTCCCCAAAAAGGAATTCAAAGGAAGTGAAGATATTGTTTTGTTTAATAGATTCATCTACATAGAAGCGCTTACTGAAAGGTTACAAACGCCAGCTGCCATTACAAGAGATACGGTACACTTTTCATCCATTAAATCTGCTGTTAAAGGTTCTTTTGTGCAAATATTAGCTTTTAAAAGTGATTATTCTTTGATTGATGAGCGTATTATGATTAAAACGTTAACCAATAGCCAATCACGTTAACAGCCATAAGTTTCATTTACAGCTTCTGAGCAGCGAATTGGATTCGGGTGTGCGAGCAGTCAAGTCTTCTTCTACGTGCGCCTCTAAATGGGGCTCTTCTGAGCTTTCCCGAAGTGACTCACTCGAAAAATACACGTTAGACCAAAATCGTAGCGACAATCAATGGAAAAGTTTTTTCATCTGTGTTTTCGCCTCTTTACTTTTTATTGTTTTAATTGCATCATTCTGCATTAGCGACCTCGTTCCCGCAAGGGAACAATATTCCCCATTCCGGTGTCTGGGTAGTGCATGGCCTGGTTGCCGCGCTATACACATCTACCAAGTTGGTGTTCCTCCTCAGTGACTTCAAACAACCTCTACTTTGTTGTTTTGGATCGGCTGTGACTACAATTTTCTGGTGACAAATGTGCAATAATCCAAGTGTACAGTCTGCGCGCATGTTCAATCTCCGCTTCTGACGCATTTACTTCACTTTTACCTAGGTCGATTGAATGTATCCAAGTCCACCAATCTTCCTGTAATTACCTTTTAATGACCAGTGAAATACACCTTTTTTCACGTTCTTGAAGAATTCTAAACCACTATGAATTAGCATGAGCATGTCCAGTTCTAAAAGACTAGTTTTGAAACTAAAACAGGTCTCCGCTGCACTTAGGATTTCGTTGTCAAACAAATTTCTCGGAGCAGGCAACTCCACTTAGAGATCTCCAAGTGCACATCTTTGACATTCATATGCGGAAGGGGTGCCCGTATATTAAAAATGCGAGATCAACGTGGCCTTTTATTGAAGCCAAGTAGGTCAGGCCCCATCTACTCTATTAGTGGTTCGGATTGAAATCGTCTCGCTCTGCCTGTTTCAGTAAACAAAAAATATGAGAAGTGGCATCTCACGCAGCTTGAAGTAAGGTGACTACTTTCGTGGTGGGGAGTAACTCTGCCTTTTTATTTGTGGGGTTGGTGACAGTGGCTAAGTGGAGGGTGGTCATGTGTTTGAACTATTTCATGCAACAAGTGGAAGCAGGTTTGGAAACGTACTAAAGTCCTCACAAAAAATTGGAAAAGTAGATGGGACTGGATCACTGCGTAGGCACGCGGGTTTGCGCTCCGATTGCGGTGGCAGTTCTGGTTTATCTATTTGGTCTGCTTTTTTTCTAATGATCTGGTCGTTGGACTTTCGTTTTATTACTGGTAGCCAGGCAAAGCAGTTAGCCACATTCTTCTCAATAATCCTACAAAATAGTGGCAGTAGCTCTATTTTCAGTTAAGTAAAGCCCTGAACATTCCTTCAAAGAACTGTTGCGCAGGGTGCGAATGCCTAATTGTATTTTGATAGTTGCAAGTGAAGTTACGTGTGGCTTGTCAGTGGGGTTTCACATAAATTAGGAATGTAATACGGAATTTAACAGAAATGTAGTCATTAAATTCTGCAAGTAGATTAGCATGCTTTTAGTGGTCTTTTGCCTTTTAAGAGCACTTTACGTTCGTGCGGTATGCCTGCATATTAATGACCGTAGGCAGTAAAAACCAGGTTATTGCGCAGTGCAAGGTGAAAAAGAGCTTGGATTGGCTTTAATTTTATCGAATAGAATCGAACAATATTACAACGCTAGCCATAGCGAGGAAACTACTAGCATGGAGCGTAAATGCAATGAATACAACAAAATAGCGTACCTCCCTGGCACCGACCAAACGTGAAAAGTTTATTTCAAGAAAGACTAATGAAGATCCTGAACTCAGAACCATTTTGAATAGATATGCATTAACGCTATACTAAAGCTTCCAATATTCAAATGCAGTATAAGTGAAAAAGACACTTCATTTTTTCCGGTATCATTTAAAGTTTGGGTATTTGAGTGGCGCCTCAGCACTGCATAAGATGAATCTAAAAAAACAGCCTTCGAAGTAGTGCCTACATTAAGGGGATTTTGTGCAAGTATGTCCATTTGCATGAATCTCGTGGGGAAATGTGCTCTCTTGTGCTCGAATCAAGGTTTTTATGGCAGAAGAAATGTTTGGCTGCCATTTTTTTCACTATAATTATGTTGACTTCTACACTTATCTTTGCTCTGTTTTTTAAGCAAATTGTACTTCCCTTTAATTTTAGCTACATATTTCGAAAAGGTCCTGATTGTAACTAATTAATTCAAACGTTATTTAAACCATTTATACTAGTTGTATTTAGTTTGTAAATTCTGTAAATTTGCACAATTTTGCTCTTCAAAAGTCTAAAGTATGGTTTTGACATAGTTTTAAAAGCCATTCATTCATAAATGAGGAACAATAAACGAGAATTAGCTGAAAAGCAGGTCAGGTTTATAAGTGATTGCAGTCGATAATGATTGTCCAAACGAGTTCAAATATTCGGGCAAGGAATAAAAAGACAATTTTAAAACACTTTTTTTGTAAAATTTTATAGCTTTATCTGCATTCTAATAGCTACTTCAACGCTAGTGTTGTGTCCGCCCTTGCATTAGCTCACAGTTTCCCTTTTAGATATCTTGGGAACGATCAGGAAGCAAAGAGTGATTTGCCCCCTTAAGTGAGTAAATCTATCGCAATCGCTCCCATCACAATATATTCACAAATGCAATTATGAAAATTTGTATTGCTTTGAAAGACCTGCTCTCTGTGTTCTAGGTCTATATAAAGTTCGAGACCAAGAAATGAAGGGCAAAAATTGACGGATGTCAGAACGATAAGATGAGGGCTTTCTTGACGCGTGCACAATAAGCGAATCTGTCGTGATTAGTGGCCCCGATGAGTTTCTCTCCCAAACGCTTTTTAGGCATTATTAGCTCTCGTCAGATGATTAATGTCTTAAATTAGAACTAAAAAGTGACTTTTTAATTCGATAATAAGATCAATTGGAATTATCTCCCTTATATATGAATAGAAATAGCCCATTATTCTAGCGTAACATTGAACAGGATGAGTTGTTTTAAAGGATCCATTAATTATTCCTATTCTCGGTGACAATCTTATCAAAGCATATATATATATATACATGGAAAACAAAGGTATGAATACGGTAGTGGATTATTGAAATTGAGATAAATAAAGCAAATCCGTTTGCTTACGTAAAGTAAATTTAGCAATCACCTAATTTCACTGGGTTACACAAAAACACAAGAACGAAATGGGATTTCACAATTAAGTGAAATGATGCAATCCAGTTAGCATAATTACATTTAGATTGGGGCACAAATTATAGCCTGAAAGGATGGAAAAGTTGTTTAGGCTGACACGTTTGCTCTGCTTAATTACGCATTTCGCACAAATCCAGTACTAAACCCATACTATCCCTCAAAAGGCCATGGAATTACGCTTTTAATGGAATGTTGATGGTGGTTTTCGGCTAAAACACAGCATTCTATTTAAGTAGTGGCTTCAACGCTCGCATTTGTGGATCATATGCCTTAATTTTTAGATTAGAACTTAATAATTTAATGATGTCCCGAGAATTTTGAGTTGATGAAATAGTCTTAGTAATGATCCATATTTTGACTTGCATTACTTGCAGGGAGTTAGATTAGTTCTAAAAAGCGTCATTGCCAGCATTTCTAGTATTATCGCAACATGCTTTAAAGTAGCTGACTTGAATTGCTAGTATTTGCAGCAAATTCTGACACAAGTATATTTCTGTCGATAAGGCAAATTAAATAGTGCACAAGTGGATGCACACAGAGTTTTGAAAACCTCACTGTTAATTTGACGTAGCTGCTAATAGTTGCTAATGGGGTCAAATGATTTATTAAACCTGCATAGTTTTGATATGATGAATTTCATAAGTTTAAAAGTGGGGTAATTTGCCTTGCTTCTGACCATTTGAGAGATTTTGTGCTTGTACTGATAATAATAATCGAGGTAGGTAAATAATGTTATTCAAAGAAGGCCTTATTAAGCAACAGAAGTAGATGTCACAATGACCGCTATGGATGTCGATGTATGCCACGACAGACCGAGAGAAGGTTACACAAGCGTTATCTCTCATGCGTCCATGTTGAATTTCGAAAGTTAACAGCCATACCTTAAGCGTCTGAAACACATGCTACAATGATTTAAAAGTAAAGGTAGACGCATTTTGCAATGAAAGTGTACCAACTTTAAGGTAAAGAAAAAAGTCCATATTTAAACTCTAAATTATGTGGAACCGTTTTGCTTTTAACATGCAGACCTTCACAAAGGTTATTCAGTGACTTTTGCCATATTAAAAAGGTAGAGAAAGTGTTTCTAGCAGTTAACCTGACTAGGTGTTTAATGCGATCTTTAAAAGGAGCTTATAACAGAACCGCAAGCCTAGTTTAGACATAATTTGCAAAGCAGATTTCTTTAAAAACAAACTTGCTTATCATAATAGCACGTTTGTGCAGACATTTTGTAAATTCGCCTAATGTTTAACTTTTATCACTTGACCTCACATTATTAATCTTTTCACACGCCTTAACACCTGACGGAATCTATGTAGGTACGATTGTATTGTTTATTAAGACATATCTGTTACCAGCATCATCATAGAACCCTTCAAACAATCAACGTCGATCAATGGTGCAATAAAACATACTACATAATAAGAAAGTGCTTGGAGTAGACATAATGTGGCATAAGGCTTCTTTCATTTTAAAAATTGGATTTTTTATTCAAAGACCTGCTTAATTGTCAACATTATTTAAATCTCATTCAACTTGGAAAACTGCAGATAAATGGAATCCAAATTAATTGATTCGCTCACACACAGAGCACTTGTTCAAGCTATTAGAGTTCTGCGAACATAATAAGACACGTGCTTGATAAGATTATGCGAGAATTTTAAGTTTTTGCATGTGGTTCTATTTCACTTGGTACAACCACGTGGTGCCTCAGTATTTGAAATTTTTGCCCAAATTGACTGCTACCGTGACCCACTCTTTGAATGCTATGCAATCGCCTTAAATGCTGCGTAATTTTATTCCATGTTTCCACTAGTGCTCTAACAATGCATTAAACGAAAACGTCAAATATTGCGAAATCGCTGTAAGCAATTTTCTTAGGGCTTCACCTTTTACAATTAGCTGGTACTATCGTCTGAATTCAGAGGGAAACGATATTAATTTGCAGTGAATTTAATGCGGTAATAAATCTTCACAACGGTTTTGATTTCGCTGATATCCCAAAAGCTTTACAGACACAACTTTGCTACGATGGTCGATTTCTAACTTTCTGTATGAGAAGGGAGGTATGGAGAGGAGCAAAGCATCAAAGAGTTTTGATCTGCACCATCTGACTTCTTATTTACGGCGTCGTCGCTCAGCTCACGGGAGAGGGAGCAAGTTTAAGCTTGCGTGTTACAATTCGTTAACAACATGT